TCCAGGAGTGGTGCTGAAAAACTAGTTCATGCATTTATTACATCAAGACTGGATTACTGTAATTCATTACTCTCAGGAAGTCCACAGAATGTAGTTAAAAGTCTTCAGCTTGACCAAAATGCTGCAGCTAGAGTTCTGATGAGAATTAAAAAGAGAGATCATATCTCTCCTGTCTTAGCTTCTCTACATTGGCTACCTGTTAAATTCAGAATAGATTTTAAGATCCTTTTTCTCACATATAAAGATCTTAATAATCAAGCTCCATCATACATCAGTAACCTGATTGTTCCATATCTTCCTAACCGAGCACTTTGCTCTCAGACTGCAGGTTTACTGGTGGCTCCCAGAAGATCCAAAAATAGGATGGGAGGCAGATCTTTTAGCTATCAGGCTCCTCTCCTGTGGAACCAGCTCCCAGCCTTAGTCCGTGAGGCAGACACCTTGTCTACTTTTAAGAATAGGCTTAAAACATTTTTATTTGATAGGGCCTATGGTTAAAATCTGATGTTAGCCTAGATCTGGACAAGTGGGGGAGTAGAGGGAGGTGGAGTGTACAGTCGGTAAAGGCAGCTCTCCCTTGCCCTGCCTCCAACATGCCTCCATCTAAAAAGCCTGATTGGACCAGTGACGACATGTTTAGCCGCATGCTGTCCTTCAACCGCTGGTTGTCTAGGTGGTGTTCTGAAAACAACGTGGGCTACTTTGATAATTGGAAAACGTTTTGGGGAAAACCTGGTCTGATGCGGAGAGACGGCATCCATCCCTCTTTGGATGGAGCAGCTCTTCTTTCTAGGAACATGGCCAGTTTTATTAGTCCTCCATGACAACCCAGGGTCCAGACCAGGAAGCAGAGTCGTAGTTTAACCCACCCCTCTGCAGCTTCTGTACTGTTACCCACCCACTACCCCATAGAGACAGTGTCCTGCCCACGACCAAAATCACACAGATTAAATATCAGGATTAATAAAGAAAATCATGGAAATCTCATAAATATTAGAACAAATTTAACTGAGCAGAAAATTAGAAAAATTTAATGGGGTTGTTGAACATTAGGTCTATTTTTTCTTAGACTTTGTTAGTTAATGAGTTGATTTGTGATAATCAGATTTATTTGCTCTCTCACAGAATCCTGGCTGCAGCAAGAGGACTATATTAGTTTAAATGAGGCTGGAACTGAAGCGGGGTTTTTGCTTGGAGACGCGCATGCGCTGACGGCCGATCACCGGACACAGCAGCGTTTGAAGCTGATGGCAGTTTGTTAACAAACATCCACAAACAATTAAGACGCATTTTCGCCCAATTTATTTACTGACAACGGAAAAAATAATCTGGTAAGTAGAAGTCACTCAACCTGGAGGTGAGTGAAGAAAATTTAGAAAGTTTACAAAACTGTACTGACAAAGTTTTTGAGTTCTTTGTTCTGGGTCCGAAGAAATCAGCAGCTGAGACGGAAACACCTGGAACCAAGAGGAGCTGTCCTCAGGACTCACCTGAGGCCTCATCTCCCCGTAAGGGCATATTAGAATTATTAGATTCTATAGTTAAAAGGCTTCTGGGATTTGAGGGGCGACTCAACCTGCTTGAGGTTCTACATCAGGAGTTCCAGAACCTCCGTACATTTCTAGAGTTCAGCCAGGAGCAGGCGCAGCAGCTTGCTGCTGAGAACGCGTCTCGGCGGGAGTCAGTTTCTTCCCTGGAAGAGGGAGTGAAGCGGATCATCCAGGGCAACAAGATTCTCAAAGAGACGGTTTTGAACCTTCAGGCCCGTAGCATGAGGGATAATTTGGTGTTCGCAGGCCTGCCGGAGCAGACAGGAGGGGTGGAGAACTGCGAGCAAACAATCAAGAACTTTCTCCAGACCGAAATGAAGATACCTGAAGAAACGGTACAAAAGATCACCTTTCACCAGGTACATCGCCTTGGAGCTAGAAGAGTGGACAGCAGAAGACCTCGTCCCATCGTGGCAGAACAGAAGGATGTTGTTAAAAGCCACAGAAGAGAACTCAAAGGAAAATACTACAGCGTAAATGACCAGTTTCCTGAGGAAATCCTGGGTCGGCGCCGAGTCCTCTTCCCACTGCGCAAAAAGTTGATCCAGGATGGGAAGAGGGCTGTCATCTCGGTGGATAAGCTTTATGTGGACAGCAAACTTTATAAGGAGCGAGGATCAGGTCACACATTTATTGTTCTTATCAGGATTCACTGGGTTTGAGCACGTCAGGATTAAATAGCTGCTAGATCCGTGTTCTAGATGATGAGATCACCTGTTCTTCACCACCTCACACCCCATCACCTTTTCTTTTTAGTTCTTTCTTCTTTAACCTTTATAATTCTTTCCTTTCCTCGTTATCTGCTTCTGGACCTTTACATCTTTGTGGCACAACCACACAACTTTCCAACACTGCACGCACGCACGCATGCACGCACGCACGCACGCACGCACACGCACACACACACACACACACACACACACACAGGCACACACACACACATTAAATCTACAGCACAATTTATGAGTCTCATAATACAACCACAAACACTGTTGGGTCTTTATTGTTATTCTTATTTATTTTCTGTTATTTATTAACATAAGTACTTATAAGTACCGTAAATCCTCTAATACAGCCCCGGGCCTGTATTTGACTGAAGCTCATCAAGCTCCAGGCCTTTATTGGAAGGAGGGCCAGTATTAGAGGCAGGTCTCTATTTCTACTTGAGCAAAATGAACTAATGGTTCGCTGGAGTTTTTGACAAATAAAATTGCGCCCACATTTTCAAAGTTAAACACATTTCTTTTAACAACGGTAGTTTCTGCTTCAGCCCCCCCCCCCTCCCCCTGCGCAGCAGCCGCAAACTCACTGATGCGCCTGCAGCCTCTCAGAGTTCCTGCTGCTCTAAACATTAAAATAATTATTTCATTTTCTGTTCCTCACTTCTGATTACCTTCAATGGTGTCTGTTTGTTGCAACCACCAGGTACAAAAACTAACTTGTTTATATTTGACTATTTTTCTGTCCTGCCTGTTTATTATCTTCCTGCATCTCCTCTCAATCCTAAAGAAAACTGCTGCCTGGGTTCATATATATTCACCTTATGAGTTACCTTTGAACTGCAGTTCTAAAAGATCTACCGACCACAAAAACAGCGGAGTGCTCACTGCTTGGTGGCCGCGTGATCGGTGCGTCACCGGATGACAAGGTGATGCGCCCCGCTCCACAGCCAAACGCATCAGGCGCAAATAAAAGACAGAAAACATCAAAGGAAATGAACCGACATGAACAATCGCGTGTTAAATGTGGCGACACCTGATTGTTACTGTGGCCGTGCTCAGGAGGCAGATCTACCGCAAAAACAGCGGAGTGCTCCGTGCTTGGCGGGCGCATCAGTGATCGGTGCGTCACCGGAGGACAAGCTGATGTGCCCCGCTCCACAGCATGCAGCGAAACACATCAGGCGCAAATAAAAGACAGAAATCTTTAAAGGAAATGAACCGACATGAACAATCGCGTGTCAGTACCGACGCTCTGGCACAGCCTCCGCATGGTTAAAGTTACCCTCACGGTCTATCACTGGCAAATCAAAAGTGAGACGATGACACAACCGCCCCCCCGTACTTGCTTGTTACCACATTCCACCCGGCCACAATAAGAGACCGGCCTTTATTCACCTCCGCCGACTCCGACACCGGCCTAAATTGGAGACCCGGCCTTTAATTGAATACCGGCCTGTATTAGAGGATTTACGGTATAAGTACTTATTCCATCTTATTCACATGAAGTTGTCATATTCTAGCTACTCAAACACACATCTATGGGTGCACTAAAGTTTGTCTCATGGAACGTGCATGGAGCTGGCTCCAGAGAGAAAAGATTAAAGATTTTTGATCAGCTAAAGACAGTGCAAGCAGACGTAATATTATTACAAAACACTCATAGATCTGCCACATCTGCAGATCTTACTCTGTGCTGCAGCAATGACTGCCACTTTACTTTTGTAACTGAGGAACCTCATGATGAGAGTTCTGGGCCGTGTCTCCGTGTCCCCCTTTGGACTGATGCGGTGTGCCCTCTCCAGTGCTACGCCAAACCCAGCACCTCCGGGATCCACTTTTCCAGGAAAACACATGGGTCCGGTCCCTATGCCCCCTCCGGAAGGTTAACCAGTCTTAGATTATTCAGCCTGGTTCTAGTTTCCAGGTTGAGGATTTAATCATCCAGTGCTGCTTTATGTTCTTTTAGATCCTTAACGTCGGCCTTCAGGCTTTGCAGCTCGTCCTCTACTCCCGATATCCGCTGCTCGGCCCGGGTTACTCGTTCAACACAATCATTGGTTTCTTTCCATACCTTTTCAATTGCCTCCATGACATTATCCAGTCTCGCTGAGAATTCATATTTTAATGAGTTAATCGCTGCTAGAATCTTGTTTGCTTTCTCTTCATTCATTACCACCGTTGCTGCGTCGTTCGTAGCCATTTTCTTAGCTTTCGGTGTGTCACTGCTAATCCGGGGGTCCATCAGTTTAGGCTGTTTGGTTGCTGACTTTACCGCTGGGTCTGTTTTGCGAGTTGTAGGCATCATAAAGAACTTAAGCCTTTATTATTCTCGTCTGAATGGAGCTGTTCTCAGTGTTTTAAAGAAGGATTGGTGGCAGAGCAGTGGTGTGCCAGTCCTCTCACATGGCAGGCATAACTGGAAGTCCTCTAAATAAACAATTTTTATTGAAAATTTGAGAACAAATACTGAGCAAAAATACTATTTTAATGCAAACTATCAGAACTTTGCTGACATTTGAAAACAAAACTCAAATGAGGCATTTTATTTATTTATTTATTTTTCCTGTTTCCTGTCTGGCTGTGAAGCAAACATAATTTATGTCTGAATGCTGGTGACAAGCCTGGTGAAAGAGAAAGGAAGAGACAAAAGTAAGAGGTAGGGGGGTTCCATAAAAATAAGCAATCAATGATTCAATTCAATTTAATTCAATTGAAAGATACTTTATTAATCCCAGAGGGAAATTAGAGTTTTAGTACACACACTTCTGAGATCAGACATACATACATAGGCACATGACAAGAATTGGTGACTGTGGTCATTCGCAACCCGGGTTGCGCTACCTTAATAGATATCAGAGGGTTCATATGAGGATTCAGTCAGGTGGAGGAAAAAAAAGGCACTTCAGAGATACCCTCCACAGGGAGGACAGCTTTGCTATGCAAAAAACACCTCAGACAGAAATGCACACAGACTTCGGACATTGCACAACATAAGTGTCCACTAAGTGGGGAGGTAGGGTTGGGACTCTCCACATATCAGTGCATGCAGCCGTGATAAGCAGCGCTTTGGACAGGGGGGAGGTCGTTGGGTTTAGATAGCGCAGTGACTCCAGGAACGATTCAACGGCCTTCACCGGTCTCAGTCCTGCTAAGGCTGGGATAGGGAGACAGAGTTGCCATGGCTACGGCAGCATTCTACATTTCTTCTGAGGGGGAGTATTCACTTCAGCCTCACAGGCTCAAGGGCACCAGATTCAGATAAAAACTGTTTTGGGGTCAGACAGAGATAATTTCCTCTCCGTCTTAAAGTTCCGTTGGTCCTCAACCCCTCTGAATCCAATAATGGCGTAATTAATCTATCCCAATCCGTGCTGTCCCGTCAACTCGCTCCGTGATCGAATCAACCTTCTGTGCCAGAGTCTGAATCTCAGCCAAAGTTCCAAGCTTACGACTCATCTCGACAATTATATGAGTTTGTGCGTTCACAGCGCGGTGTAATCCATCCCTGAGCTCCGGGATGTAGCCAATATTCCTCGACAGCTCATAAATTTTCCGGTAAACCAGGTAGCCACTCAGGCCAAAAAGCAGGAAACCTGACACCAACACCACGAATATCCAGACATCTTCAGAATCCTCTACATACAGTTGAGAGAGGCAGATCAGGTTCCACTGTTTCCAGGAGTCCATGAAATGCCCAGCTGGCTCTGTCCCAGAGGGGCAACCGGGAGCCCCTTCTCCCATTCTCATTGTTGAAAAAATTTTGTCAATCGCATTAAGAGACCAACTGACCAGGTCCATTTTAATAATTTCCAGTTTCCAGAAAAAATGCAGAAGCGCCGTACACCCAAAGACAGACAAATAACCTTGGGAAAGATAGAGAGGAGAAGAGGAAAAAAGCATCTGTACTCTCAAAGAGCCAGAAGAAGAACAAGAGTCTGCTTCTAGACCTGCAGAAAGAGAAAAATAAACAAGAAAAAGGGGACACACAACAGTACAACAAGAGCAAGCTATCACTGCATGAACCTAATGAGGAAATATATAATCAACATTGTTTTACTGAACAATCACACAATAATAACTCACAGTGCATTTAGTGCCAACCACAGCCTTAAGACATGTTGAAAATGCCCAAGTCCATACTTATGAGAGCACCATGTGAGCACATGTTTGCGTACACGTGTTTGTAGATGTAAGGTTTCTCTATAGCAGCGTCCAATAGAGAGTGTGAGGGGCCACAGATCTGCCTCCCAAAGATGTGTAGAAGATGGAGGGAGCTCCAAGCCCCAGAGATCCAGGGGCTGCCCCAGAGCGCAGGGACCCCAGGGAGACTGTAACCAAAGAAACACCAACCTCCACTCTAGAGGCAAAAAAGGATTGCCCCAGGGGGCCACAACCAGCAGCCGGCAAAGTCCCGGGAGATATCAGCAGCAAGCACACAGGCCCGCCCGCAGCCTCCCACCTCCAAGCTGTTCAAGCCAGGAACCCAGTGACCGGGGACCCAGAGGCAACCAGCCCTGCCGGGGACCCAACAGAGCCCAGGGACTCAGATCCCACCAGGCAGCCACCGGAATTGATTGATGACAGATGCCAACAATCTTAGGTCCCCTGACACGGGAGCCGCGAACACACAAGCAGACCAAGGCACCACACTCTGCACCCAGTGTGGCAAGGGGAGGGCAGGCGAAGATGTGTAGCAGCACAAGAAATCCCAGGAGAGGAGTCCAAGACTCCACCTGACATACACAGTCATACCCAGTAGGGCTGTCGCGGTTGAGGAATTCCCCCTGCGGTGATTCAGGGTGGCTTAATATTGCGGTGTGCGATATTATTGCAGCACTTTTTTATTGCAGTACTATCTAAACATAATGTTTACACATTTAAAAAAGGTTAAAAATTGCCGTGCCTTCTTTAATAACACTTTACTGAATGCAGATCAAAGGGCAGTAACAACGCAGATCGCAGTAACGTTTGTTTCTCCGACAGTCGGAGTCCGACTGAACTTAAAAACAACAAAATTCAGGAGGTTAAACTTTTAAATGCAAATTTGGCTTCAGCATCTAACAAATAAGAAACAAGTCCCCATTTTGTTTAGTTGTTTAAAATCAAGCATTAAAAATTACATGTACCGGGCGCGCGCGCGCGCGCCGGGGGGCGGGCGCACTATCATTTCACTTTCACACACACGAATGACGGTGATTTATAGCTCGGTCACGTCCTTGTTACCTACAAGGAAAACCAGCATGTTAACTACGGTTTGAGAGAGGATCTGAGAGGGGCGGCAACATTTGCAGCAACACTGAAAAGCCTCTCGGATGGTGCGCTCGTTGCACTAACGCACACGTACTTGCGTGCGACTCTGGCGAGCAAAGGGAATCTCCCGTTTGTTGCTCCACCATGTCACGGGGGTTTTCTTTAGGGTGGATGCATTCCTCCTGCAGGTAGCGAGTGAGCTCCAGCTCGGCTCAAACTCTCTTCAGGACGGTTGCAGAAGCAGTGCTTGTCCGGGACTTCAGCAGGTCTCCGAGCGTTTATTTATTTATTTATTTGCCGCTGGTGGCAGCTCTGTCTCGGCCAAGGACTCTGGCTGCGCAGCAGCTGACGTACTGAAAACCAAAGCGCTCCCACAGGAGCGAAGTAACGTTTCGTTTTGATACCAGTGCATCCATCCTTCTCAACATGCATCATTGAGTTGAACCAAGTTCAGTAATCGCGGTGGCGCATGATGCAGCGCGGTGGGCTTCTTCATATCGCGATATTTCATTTTTGCGGTTACCGCGACAGCCCTAATACCCAGACACAGCCACACACTCCTTCCCTCATGCTCACACATACACATGGAACCTAGGACTTGCAAAAATGAACACTAGACAACCATTCACACTCCGCATACACACCCTATTCACTTAAGTCAGTTAGCTCCTTTCTGCTGGGGTGATGATGAGCAGACACACCCACCCAATGCCAAGCAAAGCAACCCAATACTCCAGACCCCAACCAGACGGCCAGCTCCCACTCCTAGCGTCCAGCCCCAGGAAGCCAAGCGACAACAGAGGTATGCTAAGACCCCTAGTCTCCCTCTGCCTGCTCCAATACAGTGTTAGTGAGTGTTGATGAGGTGTATTCCATGGCTGGGGTGAGCAGGCAGTTCAGGCATCATCTAGCCTACACCAGCTGATGCAACCACACAACCCCACTTGCACCCAAAGCCCTGTGTCTAAGTGCAGTTTAAAACTGGAAGTGGGCACCGGCACTCGGGATGAGGCTGAAAGATCCCCTTGCCATATGCCGCTGAGTGTGCTCATTCCCAAAGCCCCAAGTGTGTGTTTGCGTGGAATGTGTTGGTGGATGTGTTTAATGTGCAAATAAAATTGGGGAGGCAGGCTGCCACAGGAATGCAGAAATGGAATCCATTCTTTGCACAACTTCCAAAATATGTAAGACATAAGACATCCAGGTAAGTTTGAGTCCTCCACCTCTGATTATTCAGAGGAGCCAAATGAGGCTTTTATTCTGCCTTGCTGTACTCACTCACTCTCATGCTGCTAAGGTCCCATACCATCAGATTGCTACACCTGCCGGCTCTTCCCACTGAACATCATCCTCACTGCCATCCAATACATCTACGCATGCAATGTTTGATGCCTCTGCTGAATTGACCACCGTCATCTTAAAATTAGCATCATATCTCTGCCTTGGTAGCTTGTTCACTTGCCCCACTTTCAATCCACTCTGCTGCAGACCTCCCGTCTCCATTTTCTTCTCCGGTTGAGAACATACAGCCTGGCGCCCTCTGCTGTTTTGGTCGTGTAACGACCCCAGATAAATATCGGCATGTGTGAAAGCTTAGACCCCGATTATAAGACGACCCCACATTTAAAATTATTTTCAATGAAAAAACCTCGTCCTATATTCAGGTCAATGCGGTTCTTTAAGACATATTATTGACCAAAATGATTTTTTATTGATGTATAAATTGCATCATATATTTATTTATTCTTAATGAAGCCAACTGAGCGGGGCTAATGCTGTTTAATTGTAAATTATGATGTGCACATTAATGTAGTCTTGGGCGGAAGGGGCTGGAGCCTCCATTTTCCTAGTTACAATCTATTCAAACATCAGGACAGGATTGCGCTTTTATACACTGATGTCCATTGACAATCGAATATGTGTGGGTGCATGGTTTATTTGTACCTTATAATTAACCAGATTCTGAGAAATAGATTACCATGGCAACGCATGTATCCAAGGATCACCACAAACAAGTCTCTTGGAAATAATGTAGAAAGTCTAATTCTGAGCCGATAACCTACTGCTGTTTTTGGGTTTTCTGAGCTCTCTACACTTAAAACTACCAACATAACTGACATTTTTTACCATGGCAACAGAAGGAACTAAGGATCACTCTAATCAAGTCTCACTGGAATGAATATAAAAAGCCGAATATTGAGCCAATAACAGACTGCTGTATCTGATCTTTCTGACCTATCTCGATTTAACTTACATTTTATTGATCGTCAGAAGGCGGGGAAGTGCCTCACCCCCTCCCAGCTCTCTGATTGGCTCATCACCACCTGTGTGTGAATGAATGGGTAAATGATACACTGTAATGTAGAGTGCTTTGGAGTCCTCTGACTCAGAAAGGCGCTATACAAATGCGGGTCATTTATCATTTATTTCTGGAAACCCAAGTTTCCTTTATTATTTGTTGTTTTTAGTGTTTTAAGTTTACAATAATAGCCTTTGTGTGCTTATCTGTAATCATATTATTTTTCTGCTTCCTTTTCTCCATGTGTATGTGCTGCTGAAACGAGTAAACGCCACCACTGCAGGATTAATAAAGTATATTATATTTATTCCTGTGTCTGTTTTAAAAGGGCTTGGCATTCTAGGGGTTAAACTAAATGGTGAAGCTCGGGAGAATGACAGCAGATGCGCTTGATGGCTGCCAACACTCGTGTTTAATGGAGCTGGAGGACAATTGGAAAAAAGGAAACCTAAATGAGACACTTCCCCGCACATCCAGTAGGTGGCGGTAAGCTCCGCTGCAGCTGTAGAAGAAGTTCCGGTTCCGGAAGCAGCTGGAATGGACTTTAATGGTTAATAACGTAAATAATTGACAGGAGTGAGCGGCGACAGAACAATCTTTCAGACGTTTGCTGCAAGGTCTCACGCAGCTTTAGCGCTTCTGTCGTGGATTCGCGGCGCTGTTAGCTTCTTGCCAACAGCCGGAGAAGACAGCCGGACGTGAGTTTGTCCACCGCTGAAAAACAGAAAGCATTAAATTATTTAGAATCCTGTAAAAATGTGTTTCTGTAGTAGGTCTGAACGCGCAATGGACCGGAACCACTAGCACGGTGACGGTTCGGAAGGGGTACTGTCTAGATGTCCATGCCCGTGGTGCCGCTGCAGGTGGGAGAGAACCCGAGGAGAGTTCGTTCACCTGTGAGTGTCGCCGGAAGTGTGCAGTCACACATTAAAACACTCCCGTGATCATAAGCACCGGTTCTACAGAAGAGCGCTTTATTCCACCTTTACTCGTGCTAGCAAACATAACGGACATGATAATTTATATAAATGTTACAGAACAGCAGCACTTTGTGTTGACCTGTTGTGAATAAAGGTGAGTTTGAGTTCAGAGTGGTTTGGATTTTAGGACCCGGTTCTGTAGCAGCAGCCATGGCGGAGGCTGGAGCCCATCTCACCTCGGCCGCTGTCGGTGAGCAGCCCTCCATTTTTGAAGTTCTGGCCCAGGAGTCACTGATGGAGGCAGTGAAACCAGCGCTGAGGCATGCCGTCAGGGTAGGTGTGCTGCACTCAGCTCTGCTGCACAAGCACAAATGTTTTCTGAACATCATAGAGGTCTGTGGCCCTGCAGGTTCTGGCTGAATCCAACCCGTCTCACTTTGGCTTCCTGTGGAGAAGCTTTGATGAACTGTACCTGCTGCTGGACCTGATCCTCCAGAACCACTTCCTGCGTCACTGCAGCGCCTCCTTTTCGGAGAACTTCTATGGTCTGAAGAGGGTTTCAGGCCAGCAGGCACCTCCAGCTCACCTAGGTCTGCTCAGGAGGTCCCGCTGGCTTTCTCTTCTTCTTCTGTGCCTGGCTCCGTACCTACGGGCCAAGCTGGAGGTGAGGCTGGCACGGCAGAGGGATGAGGAGGACTTCTCCATCAGGTTGGCTCAGACCCGGAAAGAGCGGCTGTATCGAGCAGCAGTGGCAGCTTACCCATATGTCAGCTCAGCCTGGCAGGCCTGGATCTTCTGCCAGCAGCTGCTGTTTGTGTTTGGGGTCACCAGGACTCACAGCCCCCTGATGTGGTTTGCCAACGTCCGGCTGGCTCGCCTCAGTGCTCAGGATATTCGAGTCATGGAGCAGAAAATGAGCAGCATCGGCCCCACAGCAGATAAGAGGTACTTTACTCTTGATTATGACTTCGCACCGTAAACATTCCAATACAGTTAAGTTCATTAAAGAGCAAGTCACACCAAAATCTGGTTTTTTGCTGATAACTTGTATAAATAAGTGTATTGTAGTGTTGTAGACATGTCTAGTTGTTATTTTTGGTGCATTTTCTTTAAAAACTTAAAATTCAGCCTAAAACCTTAAGTCCAGCGCCCTCTTCAGCTCTAAATTATTCTACACTAATTGACAACAGCAGTTTGAACTCCGTCTGACCAATGGGTGAAAGGTCCCATGTAAATGATAAATTAATGATAAATGACCCGCACTTGTAAAGCGCCTCTCAGAGGAAGGACTCCAAAGTGATTTACACTACAGTGTATCATTTACTCATTCACACACACATTCACACACTGATGGTGATGAGCTACGATGTAGCCACAGCAGCCTTGAGGCGAGGCTGAGCCTGTCACATCTCTGTGGCTGTAGGTTATAAAAGCATCGCGGTCTCAGCCACGTGTGTGTGTGTGTGTGTGTGTGTGTGTGTGTATGTGGCATTATGTTATGTTATACCCAAAGTACCTACAATCATCCATCGAACATCAAAGGTTCATTAACTCATTCACTGCCATTGACGACTAAAGTCGTCATTTGCATTTTTTACTGTTTGAGCATCGCAACGAGCCCCCGCGCTCAGAGAACAAACATCTCAGCCCTGAAGCCGATCTTCATCCGCATACGTCACAGATCACATGCTCAGGAAGCATCACATCCATGTGTTAGGAGATCGTTTTGGGCCGTTTCTGTAAAAAAAGTGAGGCGCGAACCGGAAAAGCGTCTGCCGATCACAATTCAACAACGGATTATGAAAGAACGGATAACGCTCGAAACACGCGGCTTCTTCCTGATGTAAGAGGTGAGTCTCCTCTTTGTTTTGGTTGTTTTGGCGTCGACATCATGCTAGCGCGCAACGTTCTGTGACTCTTAAAAAAACAGTAAAAACGGTGAGAAACGCTGGCAGCGAAGGCCGTTAGTGATCAGGAAACAGCTGGCAGTGAATGGGTTAATATTGATAAACCATACTTTAATGGAATATTACATTGTATTGAATACCTTTATATTCTATAGATAAGTTATTAAAAGTAACCACTTACAAACCTTACATGAGCACCACGTGTTCATCATGTAGAAATGTTTGTGTGGAAGAGCAACAGCTACAATGTGTACTACTATGTTGTAATGTGTGTGTTTTTGAGGCCTTGTGTGTGATGTCTGTAGGCCAAGTCTGGTTTTTCACCAAGAGTGAAAGGTTTTGAGTGTAGAGCTTCATTTTGACCTGAAAATGTGATGTTTGGGAAGTTGGGTGAGATGTTATGGATGTGTGTTTACTGTTTGGAGAATGTGAGGAATCGAGAAAAACTGTAAACCCGACCGCTTCCTAAACTCCAGCGTGGAGACCAGAAAGTGGATCAGAACCAACCGGAGGAGCCTTCTTGATCAGGGCAACACTGTACTGACTGATGGGTCAATGTTCGTGTGTGTTTGCAGCCTGTTGCAGCGAGCCTGGTGGCTGGTGTCTCAGACGGCGAAGGGGGTGGCCATCTCTCTCTCCACTTCCCTCTCTTTGGGCGTTTTCTTCCTGCAGTTCCTGGACTGGTGGTACTCCTCAGAGAACCAGATCTGTGTGAAAACCCTCACCACCCTGCCTGCCCCCCCTCCCCCCCTCCACCTGCAGGAGTCTGGTGGTGAGACGACTGGGCCAGAGGTCCAGAGCAGGAGCTGTCCTCTGTGTCAGAAGCTGCGCGTGAATGCCACAGTGTTGTCCACCTCTGGTTTCGTCTTCTGTTACCGCTGCATCTACTCGTATGTGAAGGCCAACCGTGTCTGCCCCGTCTCGGGATTCCCGACCGAACTTCAGCACCTGATAAAGATCTATGCTCCAGAGAGCTAGCTGAGCCGAGCAGACGTCCAGTGGTGTGAACTCACATGCGGGGACACATCTAGTCAGAGGCCTCTGTAGATAAATGCTGATTAGATTCAGGCAGGAGAATATTTTTTTTTTCCAAAGCTACTGACTTTGTACAGTCTAAAAGATTCAAACCTCGACTAAAAACTCATTAAACAAAAAAGCAGCCCTGCAGATTCAGGTTGCTCGGTCCAGTTAAAACAGGTGAGTGAGAGAAACACCCAGATCGACCCTGGAACCACCTTCAGACCCACAGATCGACCCTGTAGCCTCAGGTATGGCCTCGGCCCTGCTGCAGGTCTCGGATGAAGAGCGGCCGCTGCGAGTTGAACGGTTTAAACACTTAAACAAAGCAGCTGCTGCAAAGGCCTGTGAATAGCTTTATTGAGTTTCCAGACAAATGAAACAAGTCCACTTAAAAAACAACAAACACAGAGTCGGTGTCACGTTACGGTGAGTGATTAAAAAGGGCTTCGTTACAGTGTCCACAAAGCTGAACCAGACTGGTGAGTCGTTCTGCAGCACAAAGGTGACCGTTCTCATTTGTCACGGTAAGATTACTTAATGAGTGTGTATTGCACGTCTGCAGCTTATGTACACGTGAGTCAGCTGACATTAATCGTCACAACAGTAAAGAATCCAGAGGAAACGGCAATACGTACACCAGGGGTCAGGAATGTTCTCGTCAAGAAAAAGCTGGAACCCCCCCTTAAGAATTGTAGTGAGGGGGGGCAGGCTCTGTGTGAGTGTGTGTGATTTTTCTGCTTGGTGACCTCTAAACCCTAGAGACATCTTCACATCATTTCTATCAGGGGTCAGAGGTTAAAACGATCTTCAGGATTCCATTTTCCTGGAGCAACTCTGAGCTGAAGCCACCTGAGAAGAAGTCTGGACCTCTGTGAGGTCAGAACCCCCTGAAGAAACGTTTAGACTCGGTCTAGATCTGCTGAGGTTTCATGATTCTTGAGCCAAACATTCGAGCTTACTGTGCCAGGAGGAACACTTCATGAGGCTGCAGCTTCTGTTGCGGCCACAAGGTGGCACTAGGTTCCTGCTGTGGGACACAACAGCTGTGTCCTGTTCCCATCTGACCCCTATGTCCATTGTAGGTTTGTCCAAACAGATGGACATAAACACCAGCTGAACCTGCAGCACTTGTCTGCTCTACCGAATCTACCTCCACCACAGCTCTGCTCTTAAGATAAACCCAGGAAGCAAACTCCTCCATCGGTGAGTGGAAGTCATATCTGAGCTGTCTTTGGCCAGGTGATCAGAAATGAGCCTGAACATCCCAGAGACAGCCACTCCCGACTGCAGCCAGCCCCTTCCTTCCCGCTCAGCACCAAAATGCAGTCAAAGCTGCTAGGTGATGCAGATGCGTACATTTTAGTAGCGCTTTGATGTTGGAAAATGTGGAGTACAACTCAGTTTGGCACAAAGAGTTAACCCGAAGAGTTCAGAGGATCAAGCTGAGGTGGTTCAGGACTGATGAAGACCACATTCAGGCTCCATCCTCTAAACCCCTTATGGCCGTTGTCTTCTACACCGTTATGTCTTTAGAATCAGGGTTGGGGGTTCGGGACCTCTTAATCCTGTTTCACACCGGGCGTGGGACGGAGGCAGTCCGGTTTCTGTACATCTAGACGGACTTGTTCACACCGACTGTGATTGGTGTTCTGAACGTTTCCAGATAGCTGCTCCCATCGAATGATTACAAATGGCTTCTACGCCAACCTGTAAAATAACCTGAACTATCACATCTGACCTGATCCCATACCAGATCCGCCTCGCTGAAGCATGTCTCACTTCCTGTCTGGCTTATAAAATGTAACTTCATGACAATCCACACGCAGCACCTGGAAACGGTCCGGAGCTCCGTATGTGGATGTGAGCACACCGCAGCCGGAGGGAATGTTCGGACTGGTGGTTTTTGATCTTTGTGGAGGCCGTACAGAAACTGCACCGCATCCGTTCCGCCTTCAGTGTGGAAGAGGCTTCAGTTCCATCTGATCCAATCACAATCAACATCTGTAAACAAACAAACAGGCTGTGGTGATGATATAAATGTATGTGCTAACTTCCTGTCAAACAGCCAAAACTGAAATCTCCTTAGCTTGTTTATACATTAGATAGAATATAAGTTTTTGTTTTTATACAAAAGGAGAACGTGTTGTGTACTTTATACATGTAAGTATGTACAGATATAGAAAAAACACACGACACGTGCTGTGATGCGGCCACCAGCAGCAGAACAACAGACATTATTTACACCAAACAGGAAATGTTGGTTACTTCCTCCAGGTGGCATCTCCTCTTTGGAGGAAGGGGGTGTGGCTCAGGTCATCAGCTGACTCACTGAAAACTGTGAAAGAGGTCTGAAGAGTTCAATAGATCGGGTCCTGAGAAGTTTTCTTCAGAATCCTTGAAAGTTGCTCCCATCTTCCCAGACATTCAGAAGAGCGTTTTGACTGGAGATGAGGAGCTTCAGAAGCTCTTCATGTCTACAGAACACCTAAGATGGTAGCAACCAAATAAATGCAGCTGTCACGTCTCCATCCAGCTTCTGGTTGGTTCAATAGGGACAAACTAAGGCATCCAGATGAAGAGAGAGAGACTGAAACAACAGCAGTGTGTGTGTTGGCTGAGGTGCTACGGCAGTGGTTAGATGATTAGTGTCTTTTGGACAGAAAAAGGCACCTTTTAGTTTCTCCTCCCAACTGTAAATCTGATCTCAGGGTGACCATGTGTCTTCCCAGCTCGTCTCTGATGGACACTCAGGCAGACCAGACGTCAGCGTGGTGTCGGACATTTAAACAAACCGTATAAAGAATAACGGGGGGTGAAACAGCTGTGTACAGGTGGCATTCCCTTCCCTTTGGTTTCCATGGAGAAGCCAACAAGTCGCCCGCCCTCCGCAGGTTGGTGACCCAAAAGAAAACAGATGCATCGGCATCGACTGACTCCTTAATGCTCAGCCCGATTCCTCCACGATGACTTTGTTCCATCTGATGCGTGTATGCATACACACTGGAGGCACGAGAAGGGGAGGTGCAGAAAGGAGGTGAAGGTGTCTCTGTGCTTCTAGTGTGAGCTCTCCTTAGAGAACAGGCTCTTCCTCCATCGGCTCTTCTGCAGATCTGCACACAGTTCAAGAGTAGATATCATTATCAGGGCTGAACTTATTAAACGTGTAGAATCCTTATTAAAACTCAATTTAAGCTCAACAAAATTAAATGTGCTGATGCTAACTATCCCACCTTTTCAACTCTGCTGATGCACAGTCTGATGCAATTCCTGCTAAATAAATCACACCTGTCCTAGAAATTAGCTCAGGTGTTTTTGGATCACATCCCGCCTCCTAAGCTGGCTGATTTTTGGCATATCTTGGGTAACCATGGCAACCATGAGGTTTGGAAATTGTGGGTGAGGTAGAGACACACTGGAAGGTAGAGTACAGCAGCTGCGGGTTCACCACGGTTCCAGCGGGTTGGTTGATCCAACACCAAGCTCCGTTCAGCACAGCTGATGGGCCAGGACATTTGTGTGGTCATCTGGCTTCTGTCAGTGTCATTGTGAGGTTTTATGCATGGGCGTCACTGCAGTATATGTTTGTCTACTAGTTTTCACACTAATACCTTTTTCACAAATGGGCTGAATTCAGCACTTGGACATGCCCTGACAGGCCTAGAGGCAGATGGTTGAAGGAGTGTGCCAATCATCTAGATGGCATCAAGATCTGGATAAATTAATCAAGTCCATGAAACCCTCAGGCTCCCCACTGGATGCTCTCCCCCCAATGCTGCTACTTGGGGCTCTGCCAGTAGTGGGCCCTTTTATTTTGAGTACCGTAAATCCTCTAATACAGGCCCGGGCCTGTATTTGACTCAAGCTCACCAAGCTCCAGGCCTTTATTTGAAGGAGGACCAGAATTAGAGGCAGGCCTCAATTTCTACTTGAGCAAAATGAAGTAATGGTTCGCTGGAGTTTTTGACAATTAAAATTGCGCCCACATTTTCAAAGTTAAACACATTTCTTTTAACAACGGTAGTTTCTGCTTCAGCCCTCTCCCCCCTCCCCCTGCGCAGCGGCCGCAAACTCACCGATGCGCCTGCAGCCTCTCGGAGTTCCTGCTGCTCTAAACATTAAAATAATTATTTCATTTTCTGTTCCTCACTTCTGATTACCTTCAATGGTGTCTGTTTGTTGCAACCACCAGGTACAAAAACTAACTTGTTTATATTTGACTATTTTTCTGTCCTGCCTGTTTATTATCTTCCTGCATCTCCTCTCAATCCTAAAGAAAAACTGCTACCTGGGTTCATATATATTCACCTTATGAGTTACCTTTGAACTGCAGTTCTAAAAGATCTACCGACCGTAAAAACAGTGGAGTGTGCACTGCTCGCCGACCGCATCAGTTAGGTGAAGTTGACAAAACAGGTGATGCGCCCCGATCCACAGCAGCGAAAGGCATCAGGCACCAATAAAAGACAGAAAACATTAAAGGAAATGAGCCGACATGAACGATCGCGTGTTAAATTAGTTTTTGAGGTGGCGACACCTGATTTTATAACCCTACTGTGGCCGTGCTCAGGACGCAGATGTCTGGAGCGCGTCAACAATCAGAGCTTTGCATGCGCAAGCTGGTTAAGGTTAGGATGGGGGTGAGGGGAAGGTTAAATTGCAAGAGGGTAAAGGTCACAATTTGGTTAAATGTCCGTTTTACGGCGGGTGTCAGTACCGACGCTCTGGCACAGCGCGTTGCCCCCCGATGCGCAGGAGCTTGTCACCTGCTGACAGCAGGCTGCTGTTTTTTCTGTGGACTGCATCTTGCTGGTCATTATCACGTGACAGCGACTAGTCGATGACAGGCATAAAAAGTCACCATAGAGCGGTGAAGTCGACTAGTGACTAGTTCATACAACTCCTGCTACTGCTCCCCAGAGTGTTCTGCAGCATAATCAGCACGTTCTCTTTGAACTTGATATCAAATTTTCGCCTCCTCTTCGTCTCCGCACGGTTAAAGTTACCCTCGCGGTCTATCACTGGCAAATAAAAAGTGAGACGGATGACACAACTGCCCCCCGTACTTGCTTGTTACCACATTCCACCCGGCCACAATAAAAAAACGGCCATTATTCACCTCCGCCGACTCCGACCAAAATATGATACCCAGCAGTTAATTAAATACAGGCTAATATTAGAGGATTTACGGTATTTTAAATTACAGTTTGTCATCAGGAGTGTTTCCAGAATCCTTTAAGAAGGCGGTCGTCCAACCGCTATTGAAAAAAACCTGGCCTGGATCAAAATGATTATGCAAGTTTCCGTCCAATCTCCAAACTTCCTTTTTTATCTAAGGTTATTGAAAAAGTGGTACACGCTCAACTCTCACATCATTTACTGGAACATTCACTACTCAACCATTTTCACTCTGCTTTTAGGCCAAATACTAGCACCGAGTCTGCACATATTCGTGTGTTAAATGACATTCTGACGGAAACTGATGCTGGTTCCTTTGTTCTGTTACTACTGCTAGACCTATCAGCGGCATTCGATACAGTTGACCATAACATTCTGTTAACTAGGCTGAAATCTTTTGTTGGAGTCACAGGGACTGCGCTAAATTGGTTTCACTCCTATCTGTCTGACAGGAGCTTCAGCATCCACATAGGCGATTGCTCTTCTCCTTTTGTCCCACTCCCCTGGGGAGTTCCCCAGGGCTCTATTCTAGGTCCACTCCTCTTTTCTATATATGTTCTTCCACTGGGAAACATCATTGCTAAACGGGGCCTACATTATCACATTTACGCTGATGACTGTCAAATTTGTATGGCTTTAAATCAGTCAAGTTCCATTACTCAGCTCTCAGAATGTCTCTCAGAAATTAAAACCTGGCTAGCTTCCGATTTCCTGAAGTTCAATGACAATAAGACTGAGGCCATTCTTTTCAAACCAAAACATAATCTGCATACTTCTGCTGCCTTTGATCTCTCCCCCCTAAACCTTAATTTGGGGTTAAACTGGATGTTGACTTATCAATGAGTGCACATGTTAATGCCACTGTTCGATCCTGCTTCTTCCAGCTTCGTCGCCTTGCCCTACTAAAGCCCATTCTTAAGAGGCCACACTTAGAATCAGTGATTCATGCATTTATCACTTCCAGACTCGACTTTTCCAACTTGGTTCTAATTGGTGTAAATGTATCTGTCCTAAATCGTCTGCAGAAAGTCCAGAATGCTGCAGCCAGATTTCTCTCCAATACAAATAAATGCTGCCACATCACTCCCATTCTGGGAGATCTACACTGGATTCCTGTGCAATTTCAAATTCAACACAAAGTTCTTTTACTTACAAAGCCCTGAATGGTCTAGCCCCCTTATACCTCTCAGAGCTGCTCACCCCCTACATACCCCCCCACCCCCACCCCCCGGGGGGCACTAAGGTCTGCTGATCATCTATTGCTCAAAGTCCCTAAAATGAAGTATAAAGCCCGTGGGGAGCGTGCGTTCGCCTTTGCAGCTCCCAGACTCTGGACCGCACTCCCTCTGGTGGTACGCCAGGCTTCTTCACTAGCAGTTTAAATCCAGCCTGAAGACACATTTTTTAATTTAGCTTTTGGCCAATGATCAGTCTTTTATGCTGTGACTCTCTTCTGTTTTTACTGACTTCTGTTTTTATTGGCTGTTTTAAACTTTTGTTCTAATTTTAGGTGTTTCTATTTTATGACCGTTTTAATCTGTGTTGCATGTGTATGTATGTGAATTTGAAAGGCTTTTTAGGTTTAACTCTGTGCAGTGCTTTGGTCAGCTGACATGCTGTTTTTAAATGTGCTATATAAATAAAATTGGATTGGATTGGCTAATCACAAGTCTGTTCCTACACTTTCTTCAGCTGTGTCCCAGGTCAGTGGAAGCAATCCACCATAATTCGTTATGGATAGGGTGCTGTCGAGTAAACAACTTCTCACTGAAGCCGTCTATTTTCTACAAAACACATGCCAGCAAATCAGAGTAATATCAACGCAACAATGTGTCTCATAAACGCACCATGCTGGCATGGTGATGCATGAATTTTGTGGCGTTTGTTCTGCCTCACTTGTTAGTAATATTGCGGGTAAGGGTCTGTCTTATAAACGGCAAGCTGAACTGAAACATCTGAAACTTTGTCAACAAACGCAAAAGACCCACGACTCAAGTGTGGTTCTGAAATCTGTCTACATGTGTTAGTGAGCACTTTTCCTGTACCAAGATAATCCCTCCCACCTCACAGGTGTGGCATATCAAGGGCCAGTTAGACAGCATGAATAAGATACAGGTGTGCCTTAGACGGCCCACAATAAAAGGACATGGGTACGAGCATAAAACGAGTAAAATTCAGCAGTATCTGTGTCTGTGCTGAAGGAAAGTCCTCATTGGGTAACTGACTGTCTTCATGCTCTGTGATTGGCCAGTCTCACGGAGCACCCTCCCCTCCCTACACACAAAACCAACTCCAGCTGCAACTGTTCCCCATTCTCACACACACATTGCTTCAGCACTCCCGAGGTTTTCTTCAGCTCGGTTTGTTTAATACTTAGTTACTTGTTTTGTACGTGGTGCATTTGAAATGGCTCGTGTTGCGTTGGTCACTGCCTCGTTTTTTTTTAACCCTCCCTCTCTCATCAAAGTAAATGAAGATCTGAAATACAGCACAGGACTATTTGGTCAGTAGAACAAACTCTCTCTCTCCCTCACACACACACACACACGTGCACACACACACACACACACACACACACACACACACACACACACACACACACACCTTAATCAACACCGTTTTGTTTAACTTTGTGTGGAACAAAACCCAAGGACGTTGTGTCTTGTTCTAGTTCATATTTCCAACTGATTGAGTTCCGTTGCATTCATTCATGCACGTAAACATTCATGTACTGAGTTTAGTGAAAAACCTGTTCTGTCGTAGTCCCTTCACTATTGGGATCAAAAACATTGAATCTCAATTCTGAGGCTGCTCTGTAAATAGTGTAATTGATTAATTTGATTTCTTTATTTCCTTACCCCTACAACAAAGTTCATGCGTGGACCAGATCCACCTCTAAAATGCCTTGGTAATGATATCATAGAGCCTGTCCAGATCTTTGTGTATCTGGGTTCCTTAAGCCCCCTTCAGACAGGCCATGAAAAAAGGAAATGTTCCGGAATCTGTCCGTAAGACCTTTCTGTCTGAATACAAACATCCGGATAACGTGTTCCGGAATTTCACCGGACGAAGCCCCTAGTAACAGGTCCGGACTTGTTACGGACAGGGTGGCTGATTCAGACTGGTGAGGTAAAGTTCCGGACAAGAGGGAGGGGGAGGAGGGGACCGGGGGACGCTGTGCGCACATAGATAGCTCGCTCCTGTAGCATGCGGCGAACCACGGCAGCTCACCTCCTACGGTACCGTCTAGACGCGCGACGGAGCGCTTCACACCGCTTCAGTGATTCCTTTAACCATTGAGCTTCATCATCCAGGTCTCTTATGAGTCTTCGTGTGCGCAGAATTATGCTTAAGCGCCTCGTGATTTTTATCTTGAGAGGCGCTATAGAAATGATATTTTCTTCTTCTTCTTCTTAACATAAGTCCGATCCCCCCCCCACCCCACCCCCACCGCCGTCAGACATCTGGAACTTTTCCCTGCTGTGTGAACGCAGCCGAAAGGACAAGTTCCGGTACAAAAGTGGTGTGTCTGAAAACACAGTTCCGGTTAAAAACCGGATTGAATTGTCCACAAATGTTCCAGAATGTCTATCTGAAAAGGGCTTTAGTGACAGACCTGAAACCAGAGATCAACCGCGGAAGAGCCCTGGCTGCATCAGCTCTGCAGTAACCACTCTGGCGGCACCAGACCATCTCACGCAAGACGAAGCTCTGTATTTACAACTCTGCCGTATTCTCCATCCTGCTCTACGGCTCGAAGACCTGGCCCTTAACACTCTGGCTACAAGAGCAGATGACTTTGATAGCAGGGCTCTGAGAACCATTGAGAACATCAGGTGGCCCCAGCGGGTCTCCAACAAAGTGCTAAGAAAACGCACACGCCAGCCCAGAGCATCTTGTCCGGCAGCGCAACGCCGAATCCACTGGCTCGGCCGTGCCATCCATCTTTCTTTTGAGCATCCGACCAGAGCCACTCTGCAGTTTGACCCAAGGGCTGTAGGCTGGAGACGACCACAAGGTAAACTCCGCACCCGATGGCTCGATGTCGTTGTGGGCAACCTCCAACAATTTGGAGTTGCTGGACCGCCAGCAATGGAAACAACTGGTTCACCTGGTAGGCTGAATGCACTGGTGCGGGACGACATCCGACCCTTTGCAGGAGCCATGATGATGATGATGACCCTTATAAACTTACCGTGGGGCCAGAGAAGTTGGGTTTTGTGACAGCCATAAAAGTTTTTCTGTTTAGCTACAGTTTCCTGAGAGTTCTGCTTCAAAGAGCAGGAGAAGCATCATTTCAAGTCCTTCACCTCCCCCCTCCTGGACCCTCTGCAGTTCGCATACAGAGCCAACAGGTCTGTAGACGACGTAATAAACCTGGCCCTCCACTTCATCCTGCAGCACCTGGACTCCCGGGGAACCTACGCTAGGATCCTGTTTGTGGACTTCAGCTCTGCGTTCAACACCATCCTCCCTGCTCTGCTCCAGGACAAGCTCTCCATGCTCAACGTACCCAATTCCACCTGCAGGTGGATCACTGACTTCCTGACAGACCGTAGGCAGTGCGTGCGGCTGGGGAAGAATGTTTCCACCACTAAGACAATTAGCACAGGATCTCCACAGGGCTGTGTACTTTCTCCTCTGCTCTTCTCCCTGTACACAAACTGCTGCACCTCGAGCCATGACTCCGTTAAACTGATCAAGTTTGCGGACGACACCACCCTCATCGGGCTCATCTCTGACGGTGATGAGTCCGCCTACAGGAGGGAGGTGGAACGGCTGGTGTACTGGTGCAGCAGCAACAACCTGCAGCTCAATGCTCAGAAGACAGTGGAGATGATTGTGGACTTCAGGAAAGTCACAGCCCCATCTCTCCCCCTCGTCCTGACGGACACCCCCGTCACCACTGTGGGCTCCTTCCGCTTCCTCTGAACCACCATCACACAGGACCTTAGGTGGGAGCCATCCATCAGCTCCCTGATCAAAAAGGCCCAGCAGAGGATGTACTTTCTGCGGCAGTTGAAAAAGGCCAAGCTGCCGGCCCAGATGATGGTGCAGTTCTACACGGCCATCATTGAGTCCACCCTCACCTCCTCCATCGCTGTGTGGTACGCTGGAGCCACAGTGAGGGACAAACATAGACTGCAGCGCATTGTGCGCTCTGCTGAGAAGGTGATTGGCTGCAGCCTTCCATCTCTCCAGGACCTGTATGTCTCCAGAACTCGGGGGCGTGCAGGTCGGATAGCAGCTGACCCTTCTCACCCGGGACACAGACTTTTTGAGCCGCTTCCCTCAGGCAGGAGGTTACGGTCCATCCGGACCAGAACCTCCCGCCATAAGAACAGCTTCTTTCCATCTGCTGTTAGACTTGTGAATAGATTATAAACACACAACCATGCTGGTCTTCTGTACTCGACACAACGTCACGTTATCGGCCATGTTACCATTACCTGCCATTTTTTATCGCTGAAAGTTTTATTCTAGTTTTTTTTAATATTTTATTCTATTTTTAATCTTATTATTCATGTTATATGTAGCACATTAGTACCGAAGCAAGTTCCTACTTTGTGAATTGTTTGTTCACTGACAATGGCAATAAACCTATTCTGATTCTGATTCTGAATAAGGCTGGCTGAGGGTGACTTGCTCTTTAAATAAAAGCTCAGAACAATACATTGTAGATCCAAATGTCTTTTTGTATTTTAGATGCAGATGTCAAATAAAAACAGAATTTTTTATACCCAGTCATCTTCAGGTGACACAGCTCTTTACATAAATACACACCCTGCTGTTCTGGGTTGATACACAGAACCAGCTCCATCACTTCATGTACCAGAACACCCTGCATCGCATCTAGAGTACGGTCTCACCCGGACTAGCTAACAGTGAAAAGTGATGCTGGTTTCAGTGGTTGGATGATGCTGACCTGCTGGTTTCTGTGTGTTCAGCTGATCCTGGTTGCTCTACATCAACGCTCAGCGAGGCCATGGCGCTGACTGTTTCTGCCTCATCTTTCTCTGATTGGCCCTGAGTCCCCGCAGGTGTCTCCATCAAGACGTAGCCACTGGTCTGAGACAAAGTCTGGAGACAGGGCCAGTGTTGACCTGAAGAAAGGAAATATGGACCATCGGAAGGTTGAAGAAAACTACACGTGGTTTTACTGTTCATGGGTGTTTCGTTACTCTGGATCTCTATGACTCTCTCCAGAGAGGCCCAGGCCTTGGGACACGGTTTCTCCTGAGACCACTGAAACGCAGAGTCACACTGGGACACACAGAGGGACATGTTAGGACAAATTCACTCATAGACATGTTTGCTCTCAGTTTGCTTTAACTGTCAAACATCTGATTGTTGTTCATTCCAAGTCTGAACTTGTTTCTAGTACACACAGTAGAAAGTCTTTGCTGAGAGAAAGACAGTAGTCTCCTACCAGGTCTCCCAGGAGTGCAGAGACACAAGCTTCAGATGCATCACAGATAGCAGTGAGGTCATGGCCACCTTCCAGGGCCATGACGACACGCCCACCTGCCAGATCCATCAGCAGCTTGGTCAGCTGGCCAAAACCTGCAAACACACGAAGGCTCACAGGTAAGAAACATCAGAAACAACATGGTCCAGTCCCATAAAACACGATGAAACATGGTGAAAAACACCATGTTAACATCTCATATAACACGTCAAAGTCTGAAACCTGCATCAAATCCAGGAACAAGACCTTCCAGCTAGAAACAAAACTTCAAAAATGCCACCATGAATTGTGTCAGTGAGCCTGGGGTTTACGGAAACCTGGAACTCACACTTGGCAGAGACGTTGTAGCCGCCCAGAGGAGACTGGTGACCTTCCACTGCATCAAAACCTGCAGACACCAGGACGATGTCTGGACTGAACTGCTGGGCAATGGGCATTACCACCGTCCTACACACACATGCACGCACGCACGCACGCACGCACACACACACACACACACGCACACACACACACACACACACACAGCAGGTAAAGGTGCAGAGTTCTAACTTTTCACAACATCCTGGTCTCTAGACACAGAGACTAACAGAAAAGTTGCTGTGGAGATTAAAAAGGCTTCTTATTCACAAACATGGCCCCAGCAGGAAGAAAATGATCTTTCTACCGTTGCCGCACTAAAACATATCTCCAGCATTTTAGCTACCCCTGCTCTGTAGGGGTGTCCTGCTGCTAGCCTGTTCCTCTGGCTGTAAATGATCAGGCATGACATAAACAGATAAATAAACACTACCACGTATTTAGTTGTGACAGTATTAGAGTGCTGCATACTACAGGTGTGCTGTGGCTCTACCAGCCAGTAGCTTGTTCACCTGAAGGCTGTGAGGTACTCCACATCACCCATAGGGGGCTCCACTCCTCCAATCCAGGCTATGTTCACATTAAAGCCAACACCTGCACCTGAGCCCACCTGCAGGGAGGAACATAGAGATTCATAATAGTGATAAAGGATTCTGGTATCTACGGATTTTTTTTTTACACAACCGAGAAAGGCAAACAAAAGAGTGTTTTCACCACTTGAGTGAATTCAAGAGTCGGCTCATTTCTAAACATGTGACTTTATTTATGGATCTTGAATGTCCAACTTGTCACTTAAAATCATCTCAAAACATGTTTCAGAGCCAGATTTATGGTAAAATGAACAACTTCTTACTTTTTAACTCACCTTCACTACAGCACTGGCTAGCGGACAGAAAAAGATGTGTGCAGAAAAAAACTGTTTTTGTTTGCCTTTGAGGAATTGTGTCCATTTTGTCACAGGGCCTCTGTAATTAACAGCTAAACAAACAAGAACTAGTGTGTGTGTGTGTGTGTGTGTGTGTGTGTGTGTGTGTGTGTGTGTGTGTGTGTGTGTGTGTGTGTGTGTGTGTGTGTGTGTGTGTGTGTGTGTGTGTGTGTGTGTGTGTGTGTGTGTGTGTGTGTGTTAGCAGTGTTTCTAAAGCTCAGACTGGTAAATAGGCACTAAGGTTAAAGTTTGACTAGAATCAATACATTTTCATACATTTAATCTACCGATTTAAGTTTACAATTTCTCAGGACAGCTTGAAGTGAGTAAATTTGTAAATATTTTACAGGAGGGAAAATATCCAGATATATATCATATATCGGAATTCAGCTAAAAGATATCGAGATATAAGTTTTGGTCCATATCGCCCAGCCCTACCTGGAAAGTATCCTTTCTGATGACAACAGCATTGACAGAGAGGTGCAGAATTGAATGCATCAAGCATCAGTTGCCTTTGGGAGACTGCGGCGGTGGGTCTTTCAGAATAAGAACTTAAATCTGCATACCAAAGTCTGTGTCTATCAAGCTGTCTGTACTTCCTTACAGCTGAGAAACATGGGTTACTTATAGCCAGCACATCAAGGCCATGGAGCAGTTCCACATAGCTGTTTGCAGCGTATACTGGGGATTACCTGGCAGGACCGAGTACCTCGTACAGAAATCCTTAGAAAAGCACGCTGTGTGAGTATCGAGGCGACTATTACTCAACACCAACTACGATGGCTAGGGCATGTTATAAGAATGCCTCATAATCGTTGCCTCGCAAAGAGTCGTATGGACAACTAGATCAAGAGAAACACTCTGCTGGAGGTCAACAAAAGCGTTATAATCACCGGTTAAAACAGCCTTAAAGAGATGTAAGATCAGACCAGGGGATCTGGAAAATAGCACAGCTGATCGTAACACCTGGCGACTGCTAGATACATCGGGGACCCAAGCACTAGAAGAGCACAGGACAACCAAGAGGCAGCAGAGGAGGATGAGGAGGGATAACACATCCGCTGGTACCAGAAATACCACCACAACCTCCAAATGTTCTACCTGCAATAGGCCTTATGGATCCATGATAGGGCTTTACAGCCATCAGAAGAAACATCGCTGAAGAACAGACATGGATCTACTCATCGGATTCGATGGACAACTGAAGATGTGTGTGTGTGCATGCTGGTGTGTGTGTCTGTAGCCGTGTGTGTCTGTGTTGGCTGACCTCCTCTGGAGCTCCGCTGCCAGGGAAAAAGTTTCCATCATCGTACCGATGGAGGGAGATGTAGAGGACGCTGGGATCGTTGTAGAAGGCCTGCTGGGTGCCGTTGCCATGGTGAATGTCCTGGTGTGAGGGGTCACAGGTACATCAGAAACAGTGTCAGTGTTATCCTCTGATCCAGACACAATGCAACACACATTTCTGCCAAATTCTTTATAATTATATCAACCCTTTGACAACAGGATGAGACGCCAGAGGGCTGCGTGAAACACCAAAGGATTAGCTTGCTTCCTGCAGAAGCATTTCCCCGTTCTACTGCCCCCTTTGATATCTTTATGTGATCCCCTGTAAAGACACTTACCCAGTCCACAATCAGGATCTTTCCCACTCCAAGTTTCTGCTGCAGCAGCTTGGCAGTGATGGCTACCGAGTTGAAGAAACAAAACCCCCTGAGCCAGACAGACACACAAACCAGAAGCTGTTACTACCTAAGCTAGATCTCATAAGCTCCAGCTGAGTAAAAACAAGGCGGCGAGGGTACTGACATAGCTGTGGACTCCTCAGCATGGTGACCAGGTGGGCGCACCACTGCAAAGCCATTCTACAAAACACACACACACACGCACAATGAAAGTGAAGTTAAGCAGATCAACGCATACTGTCTTCAACATCAACACCAGCGGTACCTTCAGCTCCCCTCCAGCCACTTTAAAAGCCAGTTCAATAACCGAGCCCACCGCCATGCGGACCGCCGCTGATGAATGCATCTCGTTCCACACAGTGTCACTGTCCACCTGCAGGGGAAGCACAGCTCAGACCATGCTAACACACACACACGCACGCACGCACGCACGCACGCACACACACACACACACACACACACACACACACACACACACACACACACACACACACACACATTTCCTCACCCCTATTCCTCCACACGGGAGAACAGCATACATCTTCTGGCTGATGGGACCTAAAAGAGTTTTGGAAATAAAACAGGTTTTAGGCTGAATGAGGCTCAGTAGAGTCACCAGCATTGATCTGTTATCATGTGTACCAGTTAAACTCAACCCACAGGTCACCAGCAAGCGTGAGTAAGTGAGAGAGAGAGAGAGTGAGTGAGTGAGTGAGTGAGTGAGTGAGTGAGTGAGTGAGTGAGTGCAGAGGGCAACTGTTGCTAACAAAGTTGATGCTTTGTTGTTTTTAAAGCAAATCTGCTAAACAAGCTAGCTTTTAAACACAAATACACCCCTCCCGCCAGCCATCATCTCTAGACCACACCCCCACATGGCAACACACATTAGCAGAGGAAACGAGACAACGTTAAACACCAGTTGCTGTTTTCTGGGTCCACACATCTTTTTAGTCCGTGACTTCAAATGGTGTTTTTCTTTTAGGGACTCTGGTAGTTTGTCCAAAAATTGAAGTGGTAGCAGCCGTCTGTTTCTCCTCCTGTGATATTACTGAGCGGAGAACTGTTCACACCTGTGGTGTTCTGTTGCTAAATACGTGAGTGTGTGATGAAAAGAGGACCCAGGGAAGTGTGGCGGTTTGATGAGACCAACAACCGGATCGTCCAATAGTTGCTTTAGGTCCAAAATGTGTTATTGTTGGAAGTTTTCAGACAAATACGAGAGAACCACTTTACTGTATTTTTGTTTCATTTGGTTTTTATTATTTAATCTCCACAATATATTTTTAGCTATACAATGTTACAATGTTGTTAAGAGGCAAGAAAAACAAAACGTTTGAAGGCATTGGCCAGACTTTGCATGAAAATGTAGAAATTCACTTTAACAACACCTTACAATCTATAAAAAATAAACTGGGTTATGGTTTTCATTTTGTTAAAGGTGAACTATGTAAGAATTGGACAGTAAAAGAATCACAAAACAGTCCAACATGTCTATCACATAGCAGAGAAGATCTCCTTTTCAGCTGGCTGGGCGACTGCCAGGTTTTGGGTCAACGGTGAAAAAGGTGAGGCCTGGTTTGTTTTGTTGTTTGAAACCAATGATCTCATTTCAGAAATGTGACGAAGCACGAACCAGACTGCTGCTGAAAACACTAAAACCATAAAGAATCCAAAACTTTCAATAAAATGTTGATGTTTATTTTATATTTGCTGATAATAATAATAATAATAATAATAATAATTAAAGCTGCAAGCAGCGTCATTTGGCCTTCGCAGCAAAGCTGCGTCACATATGTGACTTTGTTGAATTTATTGGAGCTTGAATATATCTAGAAGGCGCAATTTGTAATAAAATTAAATCCTATAGGGCTTTCCTTGGGCTCACAAAGATCATTTGTACATAGTATGGTGTAAATCACATCTTGAAGGCATCTTTAAGAGGCTGGAGCTAGTGATTTGATAAAAGTACTACGGTGTAGTGATGTGTTCAGTGTAGTTTGATGGTTTCAAAAAAACTTGGTACAGTTGAGACCTTGTCTATAGAAGTTATTAGAGTTTTTAACTATCCGGGGGCACGGTCTCTAATGAACATAAATCCCCATTGAGCTGTTCAAAGGTTGACAAAGATCAGTCATGTACAGTTTGGTGCAAATCAGATCATGTGTATGTCATAGAGAGCAAACTGTGTCTTAGGAGGCAGCACAATAGTGATTAAAATTATTGAGCAAGTGAGCAAATGCCTATCTAGGTGGTGCTGTCATCAAAAACTGCCAGTACTGGACATCAAGTGACCCCAACATGTCTACTGCTATTTGCCAGAGATTCATATTAATTAGGTTAAAGGGGTCAAATTGGGAGCTTTGACAGGGTGGCATGACGACAGGTCAAAGTTTGAGGCTTAGCCACACACAAACCGTTAGACTTTGTAAAATATATGGCGTACTTGGACTAAAATGGACGACTTCCTGTGGGATATGGAACATGGCCCCAAGACCCTTTTTTCTAGGTTCTCAAACACAACATGTACCACATTTCACAATCCTCAGTCAAAGCTTGGCTTGGGGCTTGCAGTTTTTATGTTCCTAGGGGGTGCTCTTTCCAAGAATTGGCCACGTCCATCTAATTTTGATGTCACTTTTAATTGTGGTTCCTAATAGGATCACTCACAACATATTTCGTGGCGAAATCATTAGAATTGATAAAATGGGAGGCAAACAAATGGGCATGGCGTTACGACTGACTTTCACGCGCCATCACAGCCCTGCCCTCTTTTGAAAGCTCCCATAAAGTAATGCCAAGGAAGCTAAACATGTCTTCATTTACCTGCTACAAAATTGTAGTGATTAAGTGAAAAAGGGAGATTGGCATCTTTCATGGTAAAACTTTAACTTTGCGGTCCTGACGGGGTGGAGCTTGTGTGACAATCAAGCAACCATCAAGTTTTCTTTGGGGCCTAGTGAGGAATGATCAGAGAATTTTGTAACTATTCATTTTGGTTATGAAATTATAGCCATTTATATTTTTGGTGGGCCAAAGCTTTAGGCCTGGCTCTACCCTCTCAGCATATACAAAAACTCAATTTAGTAGTACTAGTTCAATCAAAGCCGGACCTACAAATGGCCATTGGCCGACTTCCTGCTTGTTGTTGACCATGGCTGCAAGAGGACATTCTGTCGAAATGTTAGTTTTTTTTCTTGCACCTAATAAATTATAAGATTGAACTGAGAGCTCCGGCCTCCTCCCCTTAGAGTCAGAATATAGTTTATAAAAATGAATTTAACTCTAGATTTCTAAACTAATGATGACACAGAACCAATTACGATGAATGATGGTTGGACAAGATAACAGACAATGAATGATGTGATGGAATGTAAGCTAGATTTTTTGTAGCAAAACCTTGTTAAGTATTTGAGAGAGCTTGTGATGTCTGAGTTGTAAAATCAGTTTGGCTGTATGCAGGGTTTCCCCCAGCGCTTTATAAGTCTGGCGGCCCGCCAGGCTTTGCTTGCCCCGCCCCCCTCCCCAACCCTACCGTGTCCGCTGACAAAAACGGCGCAGCGAAAATAGAGCCCTCCATCAGCTGATACTGGTGAGAAACAGCAGCGGAAGGTGTGTAATGTAATTTTTATTTGCCCACTAGACCTGTGGCAGTTCCTCATCCTGCGAGGCATACTTGGGTTTTAAATTATGTTACGGTTGCACAATTTGCAGAGGCCCTATCTTCTGAATGTGACAGGATCAGCTCATTGACTTGTAGAGCTGATGAACTCCTGTCTCAGTTTGATTTTACATGAACAATATACTAGATGTGATCTCCCCTGTAAAAGCGAAGGTGCCATGGCTCAGGGCAGAATCTTTTCTCTCTTACCACACTTGGTGTCATGTCTTCAGAATACATTTTTTATGTCATTTAAATAGTTCTGTTTGAATTGTTTACTTTGTAATCACAGCAACAACATGCCAGTGTGTGCTGGTAAAACTGGAAGTAAGATCGCAAAACCGGAAGTAACTGTTTTGTCGACGGATATAAGCTTTTCCAGTAGCTAGCTACTCAAACATCAATTTTCTTTCTACCTTTGTGCTCAAGCAACATCTGTAAGTACCTTTCAGCATGTAACATTGAGTTAATACTTATTTTGGCTTAACGGTTTTCACCAGTTTTGAAGGACATTGATTAGGCTGGGATATGCTAAGTAAACTTCATGTTTACAGACCCAATCTTTAACTTCTTCACACAAGCTCCAGTAGAAAAAATTAATAAATGGGAACACCCCATAAAGACATTTGTATATGTCCACAAAACACAGGTGTCAGTGACTGCTAATTCTGAGTCCAAACTGCTAATACTGAGTACCGATTGAATAGATCCAAACAAACATTGTCCTCTACATAAGAAACCACATTCCTTAAGGAAATGCAGATGCTTTCATGAGAAAAGCATAAATTATTGCAAATTACTTTTGAAAAAACATTACATCTGCTTTCGATGCTGCACATCCACAGAACATCTTGCAAAAAACTGCAGAACTGAAATAAAATGTATGGAGTGTGGAAGCACTACCCACACAACTGCACTTCATCCTCACGCACCTACCTGGCGATCCAAGTCAACTCCTCCTGCGTCAGAGAAAGGCGGGAAGGAAGACCAAGCGGACATTCAGGAGGTCAAGCCAATGTGCACACAAGTGTGTGACGAGGGATTGAGCACTAGAGCGTGTGCTAATGTTTGCCTTGTGAGCATGTTCTCAAACGAACGCATGTATGCTATCTTGGATGAGCAAAGTACTCGTTCCTCTGCTCGATCGGAGTTCTTCGAGATCTTTTCTATCTCAGGAACCTCCTACTCATATACACTCAAGACCTGTGCATGGCAGTCTGAGACAGCGAGGAGGAGAGCCAGTGGCTACATTGTGGAACCGGTGGCCAAGAAAGTAAGCATTCCTTTGCCTACATTCCTCGAGTGTAACCAAATCCCTAATGTCCGCACTGTTTCTACTCCAGATGGAGCCTACCATCATTCCCTCCTAAAACATAATGCTGACAAAATTCCGCTTCTAGACCCAGATGCCATCATACCACTCTTACTCCGCAGAGATATACTGCAAGTACATAAGATCTGGGAGCAGATACGTGGCCAAGGAGATGCGCCGTTTGGACAGAGGCTTGACTTAGGTTGTCAGGGATGTGCGCCATGGAGATGCTCACACACCACTTGAGGTGAGAAGTTACAGGACAACAGTCCTAGAGAACAATTGTACAAGTCATCTCCAACCATGTCACAACTAGATCACTGTTAAAGAGGTTTTTAATGAAGTGCCTAGACACAAACATCTAGGATTAACCTCCACCAGTAACTCAACAATGCTCTACAAAGATAACTTGGGGCAAACAGTTTTGGAGTACTTTCAGACCACCGCAACTTCTTCCGCTTCCTGTGGTATAAGAACAGCCTCAGACATTGCGGAATAAAGAATGCGGGTTCACTTTTCGGGAACAGTTCTTTACCATCTGTCACAGTGTACTGTCTACAATGTGCTGTTAGGGAATCAGAAGCTGACTATGGGGCAGATGAAAAACAGTTCATTGAACGCGATTTCTACGTTGATGATGCTTTAAAGTTGTTTCCAACTGAGGAAGAAGCAATCAGTGTACTTGGAGGAGCACAGAAGATGCTCCAGCATCCAACATTAGGCTGCACAAAATGGCTTCCAATCAAGCTACGGTTGTTGAAGCCTTCCCACCTGAAGATCGCACCAAGAATTTCAACTGTCTAAGCCTTTTTGTGGAAGACTCACCTATCCAACGCAGCCTTGGGCTGTCCTGGAACATGCACACTGACACCTTCATGTTTCAGATCAAAGACAACCAAAAGCCATTAATGCGCAAGACCATGAGTAGCTTCTAAAATCCATTGGGGATTCTTGCACCCATTACAATTCATGGAATACTGATATTCAGGGACCTTACCATGCAAGCAGAGGACTGGGATGTACCTATTCCCAAAGACATGGAGGCTGAGTGGACTAGATGCAAACAGTTGCTTCAAGACCTAGAAGGGCTTCAGATACCGCGCAGCTATGAACACTTCTCTACAGCAGGTGCATCAAAAAAAGAACACTGTATATTTGCAGATGCTTCCATCAAAGCAATAGCGGTCGTAGCTTACATCAAGGTGACGAATCAAGGACAGACTGAGACTGGCTTTGTCTTTGGGAAGATAAAGTTGACCCCTTGACCTAGTTTGACCATTCCAACACCCGAGCTCTGTGTGGCCCTGCTTGCTGTCAAAACTGCTGAAATGATAGTCATGGAGATGGATGTAACATTCAACAACATCATTTACTATACAGACAGCAAGGTCATGTTGGGATATAAACATAACCAGTCAGGAAGATTCCACGTCTATGTACACAACAGGGTCCAACGCATCAATCAATCACCTTGTTCAGGCCAATGGAAGTATGTTTCAACATGCCTCAACCCGGCTGTTATCGGGTCACGAACTGTAGCACCAGCCTTGCTTAGTGGCACAACATGATTCAAAGGACCAGCCTTCCTCTGTGAAACGTCACTTGCTGCTCATGAGACGTATAATCTCGTAGAACCAGAAACTGACCTTGAAGTACGTTCTCAGGTGGTGACAAGTTTCACTCATATTACCAAAAACATGATACATCCACAACGCTTTGAGCATTTCTCTAACTTAAGCTCTCTTCTCACTGCCATTGCACGCCTCATTCACGCCGTCCATTCCTTCGCTCACTCTACACAAAATTAGTGTCGAGGATGGCATGTTTATCACCCTACTAAGGAAGAGCTGCATAGAGCCAGAGTGTGTGTTGTGAGAAGTGTTCAGTCTGAGTGCTATGCAGATGTCTCAACTCAGAATCCAACATGTTACCTTCCAGCAGCTTGTGAAAATTGCATCCTTTAATGGACAAGGATCAACTTTTAAGAGTTGGAGGCACAATTGAGCATTCAGATCTGGATATGCAGAGCTGTACAGTGCGACATATATGTTGCACGAGCGATGAAAAAAACTCTTGTGTGATAAACTATTTTTAGATGTAGCACTCGTGCGACATCTATTCAAGTTACTTTTTTTCTCCAGAACTTTTTTGAACAAATGTAAGTAGTTTGTTATTGTGTAAGGAATGCCTTTTACTGGTGCACAATGTGCTAATCTGTGGAGGAAAACAGAGAAACCAGCAAAGACATAGAGGCAGAGACGGTCCAAAGTTTGGGATGAAAAGTGCAACTACGGGCAGATTAGCTAATGTTAGCCGGCTCATGATCAAGCGGGGTTCCAAAAAAACGACGGTTGTGAAACTAAGAAAATCTAAACTGTATAAGCGGGAAAAAGTCCCAGTCCTCGTGTTTATTCTTAGTTGTCTGCAGCGCTATGCAGCAGAACTGCAGATGTCAGGTTGCTGATTCGAGTCTGCTCCATACACCGCTGCAGAAGTATGGCAAGCCACTGTAGCATTTAATTAAAAAGTTTCTATCTTCAAACATAACTTAAAACAGATTATTGCTAACCTGTGCATAATAGATATGATACCATTACACATTTAGTAGTAGCACTGCACATGTTAATGAAGTACATTAAATTCTACTGATCATAGTTTGACTGTGGATATATTTATACATGTTCTTTTGACTAAGATGAGTGATATTAATACAAACCAAAAATGTTACTGAAATGTAGGTATATTTTTTCATAAAATATCTAACAATAAATATCAGATGGCAAAGAGGGAACTACACAACACGAATTTAATTCATATTATAGAGAGCCTAAGTCACGCCCATCTACTTCCAGACCACGGGTCCTCAGAAGAACGAAAAAATGAAAGCAAGTCAACAGGGCTAAAAACGCTATTTTCTAATTCTGCTTGTTATGTGCCATGGATTTCACATATGAACGGGGATAAACGTCATTTTAGGTTTTGTGTAAAATTAAGTCAAGAACTAAAAAAGTTCTTCACAAAAGTGACGTAATCAAAGCAGACACGGAGAAAAGGAGAGAAAATGGCTGTAAGTTCAGCGAACTTCGAATCTTTCCTTCAGGACGAAAGAACCACCATAAATCTGGCCATTTGGAAAGTAACAGCTATACTAGAGGAGAGGAGATTCTGTGATGGCATCATATATGTGATGTGCCGATGTCTAATTTGTAGTCATGCGAACAGCAAACTTTTATAAGCTGATGAATCTCAAAGTACGTGACTGGCATGGTCAAAACACACATCATTACTTTTCATTTAAATATAAGTACAACATATGTGCAATCCAGGGCATAAAGCAAAGCAGATTAGAAAATAACTCTTATAGCACCGTTGACTCGCTTTAATTTTTTCGTTCTTTCCGGGACCCATGAGCCGACTGGAAAGGGAGGAGACTTATGGTGCTTACACATTAGCATCGGCACGGTCGGGCTTTGGTTGGACTGGATGGCGCGAGTTCGGTCTCGAACGGGTGGTGTAGTGTTCACATATAAATCTGAGGGACTTCTTAAGAATGCGGAAATCTGTGGGCGGTGCTTAATACACGCGGGAAAGTCCGCTCCATAAGGTAAACAAAAGGCGGACATGAGCTGTGTTGCTTTTGGAGACTCTGAACCACATTATTTTATTAATTTGCTGCGTGTGTCCTCAAAATCTTGTGCCACACACACACTGCTTTCTCCCCTGAGCAGCTGTCTGCTCGCTAGGCCAAGAGCTCCGATGCGGAGAACAGCCGCACACACTCAGCTATTCTTTTCTCCCGTTCCCACACTTAAAGCAGCTTTCCGGAATTTTCCCCTTTCAGAAATGATGCATGATTTGTCAGAAATCCGTAAAAGCGATTGTCTCATCATGTACTGTGATATAATGTAAGCAATACGTCTTTTTTATTTGTTTTGCTAAGCACGCCCCCTGCCCCGCAGAGCTCTGTGCAATAGGAAACTGAGCGCCGACCAGAACTAACCAATAGCATTAAACTACAGCTTACTTGCTTCATATTTAAGGAATACCTCGGCTGATGCAGAGTTGATGAACTTTTCACAGACAAGTAAGTCTCTAAAATATAAATATATGAGAACACAACATGACATGAGAATAATCCTCGTAAAAATAGCTCTGTTTGTTGGCTATGGAAGTACATTTATACACAGAAACGTAAAGTACATCTGGCTCAGACTACGTTCTTAAATCCTCTAAAACCATCTACAAAGGTTGTCTATACACAGCTCCTTGATTTTATGATTGAAAATGATCTAATGGAAATGTTTCAGTCAGGCTTTAGGAAGGGCACAACACTGAAATCGCACTCTTGATGGTCTTGAATGACATCTTTTTGGCCAGTGATGCGGGCAGTGCTACTTTTACTGGATTTGGCAGACTTTGATACAATTGATCACACAATCCTACAGCATTGTTTACAGCAGTGGGTTGGGATTACAGGCTTGGCCTTCCAGTGGTTGGAATCCAATCTGGTCAATAGGAGTTTTGTGTTTGGAAAGAGGAGTCCCCTCGATCTGGTAACACCTCATTTGGAGGATCCCACAAGGCTCTGTCCTTGGCCCCCTTATGTTTGCGATCTATCTCCTACCATTGTGATTAATACTTAGGAAACACGATGTGAAACTCAGTAGTGGAAGGTGCTATAGAAATAAATGATGATGTTGATGATGATGATGATATCCGTTCTCCTCGTAGTAATTCACAGAAACAAATCTGACTGACTAGCAGAGGTTACAGAAGCTACATCTGACAGATGAAATGTTCTCTGCTATAATGCTAACCCAGATAAAATGGAGTTGGGGGTTGTTAATGCTAGCTGTTTGAGCGAAGCTCCCTGTAAGACATAACCAGCTGCCCAGGGCTTAGACTGGAGATAGCTTAGTGTTTTTTGTCGAGCTACTCATAAACATCCGGCTGTAAAAATCCAAAAAACCCTTTACATCTGAGGTTTTAATACTTTGTTACACATATCATTCAAAATCATTTTGCCTCTGGCCAATATGTTTATGCTAGCTTGTTTACCAGATTTACCAGCTTTAAAGTTCCAAAATCATCAGAAAATGCAAAAGTTCTCAAAAGAAAGAGGAATTTGTGTCAGGGGTGGCTGGACCTGGAAGAGAGAGAGTTACCCAAAAGCTTCTTGTGGTCCAATTTGTGCCGGTTCAGTGGACTGGTTCCATACAGCAGAGTGTGGAACTCTGAGTGGACTGACTGGATCTCATCCACAGACGCTTTCCTCCCACGAATCCTCTGCTCACACACACACACACACACACACACACACACACACACACACACACACACACACACACACACACACACACACACACACACACACACACAACTGATTTAATTAGGAGTAACATATACAGTCACTGGCCACTTTATTGGGTACACATGTCCAACTACTTGTTAACACAAATTACTAATCGGCCAATCACATGGTAGCAAATCAAAGCATTTAGGCAGTTAGACATGGTCAAGACGATCCCCAACAGTTCAAATCAAGCTTTAGGATGAGGAAGAAATGTGATTTAAGTGACTTTGAATGTGGCATGGTTGTTGGTGCCAGAATGGCTGGTATAAGTATTTCAGAAACTGCTGATCTTCTGGGAATGTCACGCACAACAGTCTCAATGGTTTACAGAGAATGGTCTGAAAAAGGGAAAAGCGGTAGAAAAAGATAACCACTCGTTACAACTAACAACATATATACTGGACAAATAATGTCCATTGGCTCGAATGAAAAGTTTTCAAATGGAAGATAAGAAAAATGTCATCTGGTCTGATGAGTCTCGATTTCTGCTGTGACATTCAAAAGGGTCAAATTTGGAGACAACGACATGAAAGCATGGATACATCCTGCCTTGTTTCAACAGTTCAGGCTGGCGGTGGTGTAATGGTGTGGGAGAGATTTCCTTGGCACAATTTGGGACCCTTAGTGCTAATTGATCTTCCTTGCAACGCCACAGCCTACCCGAGTATTGCTGCTGACCTTGTCCATCCCTTTATGACCACAGTGTACCCATCTTCAAATGGTTCCTTCCAGAGGGATAATGCACCATGTCATAAAGCTCAAATCATCCCAGGCTGGTTTTCTTTGGGACGTGGTAGATTGGTTTAGGGTGTAGCGATAAATATAGATTTATATCTATATTTCAAATGTGGCATAGATTTAGCTTGTTTATAATCCTATATTAATTAATCGGGGCACCACCAGTTTCCGGAACTGGACCGTTGGATTTAATATCTATATCTTCGCAATGTAGTCTCAGAGTTAACACCACAAATTAATCTAAAGGATGAATTCTTGACAGAATGCGCCGATTATTCCCGAGAAGTGCTAGACAATGATCAGGCGTTATTTACGTTTTGTGAATTTATTACAAACATCAGTTAAGGCATGGACAAAAAGGACCAAACACAGTTTATCGTTTCATGCATGAAATTAAGGCAACTGTTAACCCAAAGCTTTATGGCAGTGATAGGACATAACTGATTTGTAATAAAGTGGAAATTTGGTGACACATATGATTATAGTAACTATTAGGAATCATTTCTGAAAGGAGAACCAAGGGAGGGTGAGTGTGTGTGTGTGTGTGTGTGTGTGTGTGTGTGTGTGTGTGTGTGTGTGTGTGTGTGTGTGTGTGTGTGTGTTCGTGGGGCTTGTTATGGCAGAAGAAGGAAGGGGATCTTGAAGGCTAAACGTGAATCTTGGATCGAAATAAAAAACACACCATAAAGAAATGGACTAATATGAATTCACTAATCGGGCTTAGCACAAAAGCCAGCCAGATGAGATGCTTCACAGACCTGCTTTCCGTCACCGGAAGGGTGGCCAGCGGCTCCAACAGCCTTGGGTTCCTGGCTCGTGGCCTTTTTGGATTAAATGGTCCTGGCTCCCCGGTCGGTCAACGCCGGTCGTGGAAAGGGGAGGATATGGTAATCCTCGATCGTGGCTTGACTTTTCGGTTCCTCCAGCTATACCAAACGTGGAATTCAGATCGCGGGTCCAAATTATCCCAAACGGAGCCGAATAATCAAAATGTTCCAAATTGCTTTTACTCTTAATGTGAGAACTCGGCCGAACACGCAGACTTCCGGTTTCAAGTAGGAAGTCGAAACAAAACAAACGGAGTTGCTTCCAAGTTTTACCGTAACTTTTGAGAGCTAATTACTTGACAACTGTAAAACGCCGGGTTCTGCTAGGCCAGATGGAAACAGCCCGCAGGGATGTGTACTTAAGGCATCTTTTTTTCTCCTGCCACACGAGGTCTGAACCCTGGTTTTTATAAACTTCTTGGTCACACCCACATGTATTTCACTCATTAACCACTGGATGGCACTGTGGCTCTTTCAAATAAACTACCTTTCAACAATGAAAAGTTCACATTTTACCAAATTTATTCCAGATGATGCATCCAAGTATTACGTCAAACAGGAAAGAACTAAAAGTATGTCTTAAAACTGAACAGTTTTACTATTAGCATGAATTTTAACTGGAGAAGCAAAAATTGGCAGAGGTTTACCATAAAAGAAAAAACACAAAACAAGCATTTGGGTTTGTAACTGATAAGATTTTAAACATATACGTGGAACACCTTGAAATTTAATGGTGAACAAACCTAAAACATCTTCTTTGATTGTGGATAAACAGGAATGCAAGGTTTATAAAGACCCAGGTCTTGAAGCTCCCAGGAGGACCTAAGTTTTACAACTTCCCCTATCTTGAGAAAAGGGTCAGCCTGAGGTTGATGTAAAACAGGCCAGTTTTCTGAAATTACTTGCGCCTCCTGATTGGTGTAGAAGGGAGGCCAGTCAAATTGGTGCAATTTACGATCCTGGGAGAGAGTCATAGGAGTTAACCAGAATGCTGAAACTGCGGGCCAGTTTCAAATTCCCCTTTTTTGTTTTCTTCTGCTAAATGTGAGAGGAAAAACTTTGTGGAAAGAGTTATGTTCTCCTTCATGTGAAGGCAAACAAAATTAATCTGAGGATATAAAATGTGGATTTCCGCTACAAGGGCAGGGGTGGGGAAGCCTGGTCCTGGAGAGCCACTATCCAGCATGTTTTAGTTTTTTCCCTGCTGGAACACAGTTGATTCACCTGTTCAGCAGCTCATCAAGCTCTGTAGATTAAAACCAGGTGTGTTGAAGTAGGGTAACCTCTAAAACGTGCTGGATAGTGGCTCTCCTGAACCAGAGTTCCCTACCCCGGGGTTAGGGCATCTAGCCTGACCAGCCTGGGAACTATTCTTTTCAAATAACCCCACCACCTGAGAGTTCTAACCGAGTCAAGCAGCACTGCACAGCATACATCACACACACACACCAGAACACCGAGTTTCTAATAATCAACAAAGATGGCACCTGAAGCAGAGTTCACTGTGGTTCTTTTCTCTGTTCTAAATGACTTGGACATGTTATCACAACCTGTCCTGTCTTCCCATTCTGTTCAGTCCTGTGTCTTTCCTAATAGCTTCCACCTGCCTCTCGTCTCCCAATCACTCTAGATATCAGCTCCTTGTGTATTTAAACCCTCCCAGTTCTGTGTTCCCTGTCTGTTCATTGTTTCCTTGTCAGTGTGCACCTCATTAAAACCCTTTAATACGTCTTCACCTTTTGTTTGACTCACCTGCATTTGGATCCTCACCTCAGCCCTTCAACCCAAAAGCACTCCTGACACAAGGATTAAGGCAGTTTTGAAGGCAAAAGGGGGTCCAAGCCGGTACTAGCAAGGTACGCCCAATAAAGTAACCTGTGAGTGTATATGTGTGGAATGTCCTGCTGTTTTTTTTAATCATACCTCTGTGTGTGTGTGTGTGTGTGTGTGTGTGTGTGTGTGTGTGTGTGTGTGTGTGTGTGTGTGTGTGTGTGTGTGTGTGTGTACTTGTCTTTATATGCTTAAATTGACAAAATTTAACTTTTAACCTGTAGTGTGCGGACATTTTCACATTATGGAGACATCTAGCTGGTCCGCACACGACAAAATAACTTTAAACGATTGGGGTGGGAGAAAAGTTAGAACTAGCAAGGGGGGTGAGGTTCAGATGGGGGGAGTAACGTGAGGAAATATGGGTTTTCTGTCACAAAGGTGGTGTTGGACTCAGCTGGGTCAAAGCTGGGTCGTTGAGAACTTTCACCCACAGATTAAGACCTGAACGCCAGCGAGTCTGGGAGGAAACCATAACATCTGCCACCTGCAGTACCAGAAGAAGGAGTTCTCATGGACAAGTAGTCATAACAAGTCAAAACATAAAGTTTAAACTTCCTTTTCTTGTTTTGAATGTTAAAAGTTTAATCATCAATTTGCTCATTATAAATGTGTTTAATCAAATGAACGATTCTTATGCTTTGGGTAATTATAATGGATTAATGAAGCCATTCTTAAATAATGTTGAGGATGTTTGTTGCTGACCTTCACACACAAACACTCACACACACCCACACACATCTTCCCACAGTAAACTCCAAAACACATTTGATGACGCACACGTTTGCTTTGAGAAGAGAAAGGCTTTTGGTAAGTTTCAGTCTTATGATTTCAGTTCGTGCTTGACAACGAAAGAGAGAGGACCTAAAGGGGAGACAGAGCCGGTTGGCTCGTTTCTCCCCCCCCCCCCTTTTCCGCTGTTCCTGTCAGCCAGACAGAATAGCTGAATCGCAACTTCTAACGCAGACTCATTACCGAGTCTTTTGATTTCTGAGTGAATTAACTTAAGAAAGTGCATCGACAAAACGCTTTACCATCAACGTGTACCGAGGGCAACTCTGGACCGGTTCCGTTCGACACCTACGTCTCCCCTGTCAGCCGCCGGTGTCATCTGGATGAACCACAACATCCTCCACGGCCCGGATCCGAAAGAGGGTCCACAAGAGTTCGGTGAGACAGAGCACGGTGTTTAGCGTTTGATGCAGTTCTCTGATAAGACCTAAGTTTATCCAAACCATCACTTTTCACTCAGACACCTGTTCTTCCTGAAGCAAAATCAGATACACACACGCATTCATGTCACCTCATGTTCAATTCTCACTACACTTTGCACCCACACGCACCCATGATCACATCATATCACTCTCAATCTTCATTCACCGACAGAAGGTCTATTTGAGCAAGAACCGCATATCAACTGTTAAAGATTGTCCCACAAAGTTGCCAGTGTTGATTGTTATTTCCTGTTTGTCAATTTTCAAAATCATTAGTTTAATTTGAAGAATTAAAACTTTTAATTGTCAAACCATTTCTGACACAGTAAGTCTGTGTCCTCACAAAACCCGCAGTGGCGGTGATTCTTGTAAATCACTACGGTGTGTAGAATCTACATTTTGCTACGTTTGTCCGTCTGATACCAACACGGCAGCGTAGGGTTTATTATTTTTTTATTTTTGTTTTGGACCGCTGTACGGGTCGGCTTTCGCAGCCTCCATCGCTCGGTTCCATGACTTTTTCTTCCATCTTGTGAGGTTGTGTGTATTCATTTCTCTATCAACAGCTCCTTGTTTTACCCTGTGTCATAAAGTTAAGTTACGCTACGGACAGTCCTTGTTTGTGAGATAAATTGAGGAATTTGCCCGGAGTTTTACGTCGACTCAGAAGGTAAAAACGCGAGTTGCTCTGAACTTAATGAGAGATGGACGAGACACGACAAAATCTTTCTTGCACTGTTACACCTGATGTAGGGTTCTCTGACGTTCTGCTTCCAGAACATGCCAAGACGCAGGAGACTGTTTACCGGCCGAGCCTCGCTGGTCCCTCCGCCCGCCCGAACGGGCCCGTTTTAGGCGGGTGCCGCCGGTCGGGCACGGTGGGGACTAGTGGCAGCGGTTCGGTGCCAGCTGCACTGGGTCGGAGGTGGTTCTGGTCTGTAATTCATGACGTGAATTCAAACAACGTGCTGTTTACAGTCATAACGCTTTTTCTTTGCCTTTATTTCTTCCAGGGGATCAAAAACCCACCATCAATATCAAGGTTTGAAATAAACAACACTTTCTCTGCTGCTTTTAAGCTGAATAAATCTCTTGAGCCTATGGTTAACCTCTCTGACAAACAGGTTGTGCTTAACCCTTTGGTTCCTGATGCTTCTTCTCTGTCATCCATGTTAGAGGCTGACCATCTCTCCAGCATGGGTGTGAAATCTTCAGGCTGTGACCCACCGCTTGAGTCAGAGGTCCGTTTTACTCGTCAGTCCGCCTCATGCACAAACCAGCTTCTTTATCGGGGCCTGATGGAAACGTCAGCCGCCGTGAAACACTTGTGGTCTCCGGACGGAGCTACCATGCCATTTAAGGGGTTTGTGCCCGGACATCTTGACCTTTCTGTGAATGACCTTGTCACTTTTCAGTTTGTGACCTCTGCTAATACGGTGGCCAATTCTTTTCTCCTTTCACAGGGGTGTGACTTAGTCTCTGGCCTCTGTGCTCTCTTTTCTGTGATTTCTCTTACAGGTGACCACGACGGCGCGGTAAAACCTGCGGTTTCCAGCAGTCCAGTGGTCAGTGCCGATGTTGAGGAAGCCTCAGTGGTTGCTGCGCACTCCTCTCTCACGGGCTCGGGGAGGCCACCCGGCCCGGGGGGTGTAGGTGGGGGCAGTGATGCCCTGCTCGGGGCCCCGCCTGACAAAGGGGGGTTGCCGGGTGGCACTGAGTTTTCCGTTGCGGACTTCAACCTGTTCGGGGGAACGCCTCCTCCAAGCGGGCGGGTCATTGCAGGAATCGACACTGACCTTCCACCAATTCAGCTGACAACATTGACCTCCGACCCGGAGTTAGGTGCTGCACCTTCTACGGGGCGGAGTTCTAGTCAGTCTGTAAATACTCTGGTTAAACCGGGTTTTTCTGACTCTGTGTGGGAACCTCCATCATTCTTGGGAATAAAGTATTCTTGGCTTCAGTTTTCAGGACAGACCATGTTCCTAAAGCTAGCGTCATGTCTGTATCTGATTCTAACCATGGCTAGGTTTGCTTTGACACCCGTGACACAACCATCCTTGGATCACTCCTTTTCAGAACCTCAAAGTCCAACACCTCCAGGTCTTTGGACATCTGAACACCTACTCTTTCAGCACGATCCTGGTGACAATGTGCATCTTCTTGGTAATAGGGCTTTTAAGAGCTTAAGAACTGTTCTTTGTTATGCTTCTCCTGTCTCACAGACACGACATAAGTTTGAGAAACAAAAGGGGGGTGGGGAGCCTCCTCCTGCTTTGCGAGCATCATTTTCGCATTTCCAGTTCGCTACTATTTCTGATCACAACAACGTCGCCTCCGTAAAGCTACAACCCAACTTTGAGCAGGTAAAATCAGGTTCTGATCTAACAGCTAAACCATCAGCTTCACTCGAGTTCCGGACGGAACCCTCAGGTAAATTCAAACAAGTTTCCCTGTGGGTTCGTAACACAAGATACAAACAGTTTGATAACCAAATCGCTTATGAGCCTGCTCCCACAGATACGTCCAAACTCGTGTCTCTGTGGGTCCGCAATACCAGATTCAAAACGCTTACTGAACAACTCTATTCTGACCGGATTCTTTTCCACTAACTGGTGGACCGTTACAAATTCTCTCGTTTGTGGGATGAGTTTTTAACGAATGTGATATCCTTTGAATTTTTTTTTTTCAGGTTACCTGCCTCCAGCCAGGACACCTGCTACTAACTCACATTTTTAGGGATTACTAACCTGCTGATTTACATTTTTAGAATTGATTTACATCTCTATCTTTTTATTAGTGCTTTGTGTAGCATGATTATATTTAATTACACATTTAATTTTATTTTGTTACTATTTCCCTTAAAGGGCCACAAGCCAATTTGCCCTTCATTTTCATGATTATTTCTTTTATATATAAGCCTTTACTTAATGCAGCCTGCTGAGTTTCACATATCAGTTAGGATTTACTTTCTTTTGTTTGTGTTTTCTCTGCATCACATTTTAACATGACATGTAGAACAGGGTGCAGAACATTTCTTCTTTAGATAATTCACAAAAGGCATCCACATTTTCCCAGAGGCACCCATAGATAGGTTTTGATTGATTTCTTTGATATGCATCAAATGCTATCTATCGTGTGGGCTGTCTCACTTTGTCTCCTTCTCTGAGCTCGTATGGACTACATCCCATCAGAGGGGTCGTCTTCACCATCCTTCAGCTGGTTTCCTGTCGCATGGGGCTTCGGTCATGGTTCGAGAGGTGTCGAGGTCGTCACTGGACTTCGCCTGGACTACGCCTGAGGAATACATCACCTGCCCAGCTCTGTGTGACACACGAGCTGCTTATCCTTTGAATACCTTTGCATTATTGCTGATGAAATTAACTACTATTGGCATAGCTCTGCTTTCAAGATTTCCTAAGTGGATTACTTTACAATGATTGCAACAGTTTTGGCCTTAATCATCTGATCAGGATATGCTCCCTTCTACACGAGAATTAAAAGTTTTAATTCTTCAAATTAAACTAATGATTTTGAAAATTGACAAACAGGAAATAACAATCAACACTGGCAACTTTGTGGGACAATCTTTAACAGTTGATATGCGGTTCTTGCTCAAATAGACCTTCTGTTGGTGAATGAAGATTGAGAGTGATATGATGTGATCATGGATGCGTGTGGGTGCAAAGTGTAGTGAGAATTGAACATGAGGTGAGATGAATGCGTGTGTGTATCTGATTTTGCTTCAGGAAGAAACAGGTGTCTGAGTGAAAAGTGATGGTTTGGATAAACTTAGGTCTTATCAGAGAACTGCATCAAACGCTAAACACCGTGCTCTGTCTCACCGAACTCTTGTGGACCCTCTTTCGGATCCGGGCCATGGAGGATGTTGTGGTTCATCCAGATGACACCAGCGGCTGACAGGAGAGACGTAGGTGTCGAACGGAACCGGTCCAGAGTTGCCCTCGGTACACGTTGATGGTAAAGCGTTTTGTCGATGCGCTTTCTTAAGTTAATTCACTCAGAAATCAAAAGACTCGGTAATGAGTATGCGTTAGAAGTTGCGATTCAGCTATTCTGTCTGGCTGACAGGAACAGCGGAAAAGGGGGGGGGGGGGGGGGGGGAAGAAACGAGCCAACCGGCTCTGTCTCCCCTTTAGGTCCTCTCTCTTTCGTTGTCAAGCACGAACTGAAATCATAAGACTGAAACTTACCAAAAGCCTTTCTCTTCTCAAAGCAAACGTGTGCGTCATCAAATGTGTTTTGGAGTTTACTGTGGGAAGATGTGTGTGGGTGTGTGTGAGTGTTTGTGTGTGAAGGTCAGCAACAAACATCCTCAACATTATTTAAGAATGGCTTCATTAATCCATTATAATTACCCAAAGCATAAGAATCGTTCATTTGATTAAACACATTTATAATGAGCAAATTAATGATTAAACTTTTAACATTCAAAACAAGAAAAGGAAGTTTAAACTTTATGTTTTGACTTGTTATGACTACTTGTCCATGAGAACTCCTTCTTCTGGTACTGCAGGTGGCAGATGTTATGGTTTCCTCCCAGACTCGCTGGCGTTCAGGTCTTAATCTGTGGGTAAAAGTTCTCAACGACCCAGCTTTGACCCAGCTGAGTCCAACACCACCTTCGTGACAGAAAACCCATATTTCCTCACGTTACAGGGGTGAGCTAGTATGCCCACCCCTGCTTGCTGCCTCTCAGTGGGAGCAACTTCAGAGTGGTAGAGTATCCAACCCCTCTCAAGGAAACTGGTTCCAGAGCCAGAGCCATGCGTTGAGGTGAGTCCAACTATATCTAGTCGGAACCTCTCAACCTCACACACCAACTCAGGCTCCGTCCCCCCAAAGAGGTGACATTCCATGAGCAAAGCGCCAGCTTCTGTAGCCGAGGATCAGACCGCCAAGGTCCCCGCCCTCGACTACCACCCGTCACACACTGCACCCGATCCCTCATACTCAGTTATATCTATCCATTAACCCTGATGAACCTAATCGGTTAGTTAGACTACAGTCTTGTCTTGAAGACATAAAAAATTGGATGACTCTAAACTTTCTGCTTTTAAGTCAAGACAAGACTGAAGTTCTCATCTTTGGACCTGAAATCCAGAAAAGGAAACTGCTTAGTTAATCATCTGACCTGAATGGCATTACATTAGTCTCTAAGAACAAAGTAAGGAACCTTGGTGTTATCTTTGACCAGGACATGTCATTCAAATCCCAGGTTAAACAGGTTTGTAGGATTTTCTTCTTACACCTTCGGAATATTGCTAAGATTAGAAGCATCCTTTCCAGGAGTGATGCTGAAAAACTAGTTCATGCATTTATTACATCAAGACTGGATTACTGTAATCCATTCCTCTCAGGAAGTCCACAGCATGTAGTTAAAAGTCTTCAGCTTGACCAAAATGCTGCAGCTAGAGTTCTGATGAGAATTAAAAAGAGAGATCATATCTCTCCTGTCTTAGCTTCCCTACATTGGCTACCTGTTAAATTCAGAATAGATTTTAAGATCCTCCTTCTCACATATAAAGATCTTAACAATCAATCTCCATCATACATCAGTGATCTGATTGTTCCATACGTTCCTAACCGAGCACTTCGCTCTCAGACTGCAGGTTCACTGGTGGATCCCAGAATATCTAAAAATAGAATGGGAGGCAGATCTTTTAGCTATCAGGCTCCTCTCCTGTGGAACCAGCTCCCAGCTTTAGTCCGTGAGACAGACACCTTGTCTACTTTTAAGACTAGGCTTAAAACATTTTTATTTGATAGGGCCTATGGTTAAAATCTGATGTTAGCCCAGATCTGGACAAGTGGGGGAGTAGAGGGAGGTGGAGTGTACAGTCGGTAAAGACGGCTCTACCTTGCCCTGCCTCCAACATGCCTCCATCTAAAAGGCTGGGTTATCCAGAGTTATCTCTGTAGTTATGCTGCTATAGGCGTAAGACTGCTGGAGGACACACTGACCACTTTCCACACTCGACTACTTTCTTCTACAATCTGCTCTTTAACTGTATTATTTCCTGCTATTTCAGCTGTTAACTTTATTTTTCTCCAAGTGTTTTTCTCCCCAGAAGAAGCTACAATGATGTTCTGCTGAGCTGTGGTGGCCTCATGGAGGGGGCCATCGTCTAGCACGCTGCTGCTAACCACTTAAACATTCTCCCTCTCCTGATAATAACTTTTTACTCTCTTTGACATTGAATGTGCCACTACTAGTTTACCCGTTTAAATACAGATTCACTAGGATAAATAAAATAAAGTTTATCTCTCACCAAATAGAATATTTACTAAGAAATCACAATGTAACCATAGAAACACTACTTGGTATATTTATTGTGTGTTTGAGTGTGTGTGTATGTGTGTGTGTGTGTGTGTGTGAGTGTGTGTGTGTGTGTGTGTGTGTGCTCTGTCTTCTCCATCCCCAGTGAGTCGTGGTGGATGGCTGCTTATACTGAGCCAGGATCCTTTGGAGGTTTCTTCCTGTTAAAAGGGAGTTTTCCTCTCCACTGTCGCTAAATGCTTGTTTAGTATGAGGATTGCTGTAAAGACTCTGACGCTAGTCAGTGACTCGATGCAACCTACTGGGTTCCTTATATAGGAAACTTTTTACTGATTGGCTTAATGACCTGTCCTGTGTTGGAATGTTTACCGTGTGAAGTGCCTTGAGACGACTCTTGTTGTGATTTGGTTGCTTTATAAATAAACTTGAATTGAATTGAATACCAAAGACAGAAAAATATGGGACCCAACTGCCTCCCTGCTTGACACTCAGCTTAAAGGGGTTGGATTGGGGGGTTAAACCCCCAAAAGGTTCCTGAGTACGACTGTGTCTGTAGCTCACCGCTCTCCTGTCGGCTGGGTCAAATGCGGAGAACAAATTTCACACACACACACACACACACACACACACACACACACACACACACACACACACACACACGCACACTCTCACACACACACACACACACACACACACACACACACACACACACACACACACACACCAGTTTGGTTTATTTTCCTGTTTTGGTAGAGTCCTGTTAGGATGTCGTTGGTCATTGCCTGGGTGTCAGGGTGTATGGGTTAATCAAACACGAGCATACTAACACAATTATGTGTGTGTGAGATGCTTATCTTCATATGTGAAGTGAACACATTTTGACTTTAACCTGAAACGTGTGGACATTTCTACATTGTGGGGACATTTGCTGGTCCACACAATGCTAAGCACCTTAAAACCTGGTTTTAAAGGGAAGGCGTGTGTATGTGTGTGTGTACCTCACAGCGGCTCAGCAAGCCGGTCTCCTGCAGTCTGGACCAGATGCTTTGGACTCTTCCAGCATGCTCTGGGTGAATGTGAGCATTGCCACACACACACTGATGTTTCAGCATCAGACTGTCATATACCAGCCCTGCAGAGAGCCAGAGGAGCCAGTGCATCAGCGCACAGCTGTAATTCACTCTCAAACCACCAGGGGTCAGTACAAGACAAACCTTAACACTGATCAAACCTGGAATATCTAAATTAAAGTAGGAGGGGGGCATTTACAAGGGATGAGTCAGACAAACACCTACTGAAACTTCATAATAAAATCAGTTTAGTGTTTTTCATAAATTATTATCCAAACATCAGAAAGCTGCTTGACTCTAACCGTCCTGTTACTTACATGAATTAACGCTTGTTGCCAAGAGACATGATTGGGTGAAGTTAAAGAAAGCAGCAACATGTCATGGCTGCCAATCAGGACTTCTGAGTCCCTTACCCCGGTCCACATCCAGAAAAAAGCAATCGCTTCAAAAGTCTTTGACTTTTTAAAATGTATTTGTTTGATTGTTTGTTTGTTTCTTGTTTGTTGGGGAGGGGGTGGGGGGGTGTTATATACACAGAATCTCCACACAGGTTAGATTATAGCAGCTTTTCTTGTTTTCAGTCAGAGACTAATACCTGGGAACACAATGTTCACACAAAGCTGAGCAGCATCTGGAGAGACTTGGCTGTTACGTGAAACAGGAAGTAGTCATCTAAAGAAGAACAACAATACTGCAAACTACAAGTTCTGCTCTCCAGGACAAGATCAACCTTTTGATGAAAACAACAAACACCAAGACACAACTAAACAAAACCCACTGGAAATAAGCACCAGTTGCTAGGCAACAAGCATACGGGCTAACAGGACTGACACCTTCAGACGCTTAGCCAATCAGAAGCCAGATGTCACTGACCAGTAGTGAAGAGGTGCTTGATGGGGCTGACCCCACCTGCAGGTGACGACTTGGTCCTTCCCAGAGCTCTGTGGGAGAGCGAGGACTGGAACGCCATCTGCTGCAAGGGATGCTGGGATATAGAACCAAAGAGATGGCGAGGTTCTGAGTGCAAAGGGTAACATATTTAATACCCAAACACTGTGCCACTGCCCACACACACACATTCTTACGCATGCACACACACATACTGATCCTTCATTCATAAACTGAGTGCTGTGTTAGATGACTGAGCTGATCAACAAAACAGTGTGTGTGTGTGTGCGTGCGCACTGCAGTGCCCCAGCCATACATACTAACGTGTCTATATATAGTGGGTGTTGCTGTGCTCCCTGCTGTGATCTAAGTGACTCATCATGCGTGGGAGGACACTCAAACACACACACACACACACACACCGGTGAGTCCAGTGGTTGACTCACCGGTGTGTGTATGCATGTCTGTGTGGGCTGTGTATTCATTAACTTCTGAGGACAATTTGTTGGGTTTATCCTGCAACATGGGGACCTTTTGACCTTGTAGGCTTACTAATTCCAGTTTTGGTTCTTTTTAAACACAGGAAAGGTTTTTCTTTACCTTGCTAACATTTCGTTTGCGGCTGCAAACATCTTCAGAGCTGACGCCGATGGTGGCGTCACTTCCTACTCCGTTTATCCGCCAGCAGCAGAGGACGTTAGACAGACAGATGAACGGAGTAGGAAGTGATGCCACCATCGGCGTCAGCTCTGAAGATGTTTGCAGCCACAAACGAAACGTTAGCAAGGTAAAGAGAAACCTTATCTGTGTTTAAAAAAGAACCAAAAATGGAATTAGAAGACAAACACAGCCAGAACATACAAAAGATGCTGTAGGCTTACTGTTCAGATACAGGTGGATGAGGTGAGCATGGAAGCTCTGGGTTGCCCGGCGTGAATCTGAGCTGCGGCCATAGGCGTCATTTTAACCGGGGACGGCGGGGACATGTCCCCGGCAAAATTTGTGATTGGCAGCTGTGTCCCCCCCCCCCCCCAACTTTCAAAAACGCCTGCTGATGAGGATTTTTATTTTACCAGCTCAGATCTTATACCAGGGGTCGGCAACCTATTCCCATCAAAGAGCCATTATTACCCGTTTCCCACGGTAATTTTGGACGGACCTTAATAAGCAGTGACTTAAAGAGCAAGTCACCCCCAAATAAACTTTTTTTTTTGCTGATAAACTAAATAAATGAGTGTCTAAATGTGCTGCAGACATGTGTCGTCAATAATTTGGCATTTCAGTGCATCTTAGTTAAAATTTAAATATTCTGCCTAAAACTGGCAGTGTTGTGCCGTTGTCAGGTAAAAACTCTGCACTGTATTTTAATTTTAATCTGCTACCGTTATTGGCTAAGAGGTATGCTATGATGTAAACTGGTACATTATGATGTCACAATGCTGTCGTGAGCCTGTGTGTGTGTGTATTTGTTAGCAGCTCCGCCTTCTCGGTCTGCCAGGCAACAGCATTTGTTGCATTTTTCAAACATGAAGTGGGAGTGGAGTTGGACTCTGGTAGGGGTTGACTTGCTCTTTATGTGAAGCAGGCAGGTCGCGCTAGAAAATTTAGTTTAAAAAGACGTCATAAATGTGTTCCCCCGTCCTTTTTATTTATAAAATATGAAGTAAAACTCACAATTTAATTTTCATTCATTTGTCATTAATATGTAGTCTACACCCGTGCGTTAAGTGGACCATCTTCCAGTAAACGCAAAGCATCCAGCCCACCTCTCCAAATGCGTAAAATGTGCATCAGCCGCTAGTTAGGCGCGCCGCGCGCACCGTCAGCTACGTCAGCCCAGACAAGAGCAGAGCAAATAGAGACAGAATAGAGGATAATTGTGTCTGGATGTGGATGGAGATTACATTTTACAGCAGCCTGATCATCATTTAAATACGTAAACCATCACCTGTCTTCTAGTCCACGCCATCGGCATTATTTTAATTGGTGTGTGTGTGTGTGTGTGTGTGTGTGTGTGTGTGTGTGTGTGTGTGTGTGTGTGTGTGTGTGTGTGTGTGTGTGTGTGTGTGTGTGTGTGTGTGTGTGTGTGTGTTTGTGTGTGTGTGTGTGTGTGTTTTCCACTTCAAACACTGGTCTAACCAACCAGACCAGCGTGTCCAGTAACATATTAATGTTACAATTAAACAGTTTCACTTCATGTAGGCTAGGAACATTTCACCTGCCGTGGCCCGACCGCTTCTGCTCCACATAAACTTTGTGCGTGATCAAATTAGGGCTGGGCGATATGGCAAAAATAGAATATCACGATTTTTCCAATATTTTATCACGATTTCGATTTTATCACGATTTTTTTATCCATGAATAGCATAACTTCAATTGCGTATTAAAGAAGAGAAACATTGAATAAATAGACATTTATTCATATTAGGGATAATCAGCACAGTGCTAACACACTTATATTTTAAACTCACACCGAGATGATAAAAGCCCTGAGAGAAGCAATTACAAAAATCAGTTTTTCTCGTTTTTCAAGTAACTTAACATAAATTAAAATCGTAAACATATTTAAAGTGCAAACATGTCAATTGCAAACGTATTGTGCAAACATTAACTTGTTCAAAATACTATGTAGCTCCCAGTTGCTCATGTAGTGGATAGTTAAGCTCAAATACGGCTCTGATGTGCGGCTGGACCAGAGATCGCTTGTGGTAGCAAATAACTGCGCATTCTGAATATTTTCTGCAACAAGTCTCTAAATAAAGTAAAATTTTCCAGTGCAGATTGGAGACAACCCATAGAAGCACTGATTTGATCTCATTTCAGAGAAAAATAGAACAGGTCAGATGCACCTAATAAATAAAATTACTAACAAACTCAGGAATCTTTCTTTGCTTCCCTGTTCTGGTGCTGAGAATATCACTAATGCAGATCAAAGGAGACACACAGATGAATGCACCTCTTATTATTTGGAGACTACATTTACTGCAGCTGGCAGAGATTGTTTCTATTGATACACGGAGTTTACAGAATCATTTTAAATGTTAATAGGGGAAGACTGCAGGAGGGAGCGGTAAAATACAGAGGTCCCTAAGAAACTTTACGAGTCTGATGAAACCCGCTGGTTTTTCATCAGGCAGTCACGGGGCAGCTCCATCGACCCAGTGACCGAGCTCAGTCGGTACCGACACCGGCTCGGCAGAGGGTGAACGAGCCGAGGCGACGTCGTGCTCTGCTTAAGAAGCGGTGTTATTTTCCTGCTTCAGAAGAAGCGTCCAACGTGTTTTTACGCTTTCTCCGAGACATGTCACGTCGCTAAGTTGTTAGCGCCGCGCGCTAAGGAAACCCTGCGTTCCTCTTCGGAACGAAAACCTCGTTGTCGCTCAGCCGCGGCGAAGCCATGTTTGTTCACACACAGGTGAAGGTGAAAACAAGCGGGGCACTAATATATTTTTATGACTCACTCTGATTGGTTAAGGGTCAAACAAAGGCGTGTCATTCGCCTGGGGTAAGTTCCCTTTTCATTCAGAGGCAGAAATTCAACAGCAGAGCTGTGAATCGTGATAAAACGGTCTCTCAAAAATGACAGACCGTCAGATGTGTAGATCGTAAAACGGTCTAAAATCGTCATATCGCCCAGCCCTAGTTCAAATGTCTCTACGCGTCATGCGTGTCCATATTAGAGACGGGAGCAAGCGCTGTTCAGCCAAAGTTTCATAATTTCATAAAAAGAACATTTTTCCAAGTGACACATCCCTCAGAGAGACCGGGTTTCCAGACTGTTTCAGTGGGAGGAAATCTTACCGCATGCACCGTGGTTCTGCACTGCGCTGCGAACCCCAGATCTTCAGCCCACCCTCCACCGTGGGCGCTCCGAGCAGCGCTGAACACAGTGTCCAGTATAAAGCTCTGATGTTCTGATGGGAATATTTTACCTCCGCGATGTGCGTTAACGATTAAAATGTCAGCTCATCCATGTGCATTAGTGTGCGTCGGGGTAATTCTTTCAAACCAAGCAACATCCTTGAGTTCATCTGTCAAAATAAACAGTCAAATGGAAATATATGTAACCTGCCGTTTAACTGTTTTGCCTTCCTGTGAAGATTGTTGCAAAGAGAAACAATTAAACTTGATTAACCCCAGAGCCACCCAGAGAACCAGAGCGCATGCGGGAAGATTCCTCCCACTGAAGCGAGTGTTTTCCAAACCCGGTCTCTCAGAGAGACTTGTCACTTAGAAAATGTTCCCTGATTATGAAACTTTGGCTGAATAGCGCTTGTTCCTGTCTCCAATGTGGCGACACATCCACGAGCCTGTCTGAGGAGAATCCCAGAATCTCACATTGTCTTCAGCTCATAAAGTGCCCATATGATTACGCACAAGTGTGACCCGTCAACTCGGTCTCACAGTAAGACCGGGTTGGACCTGTTCAGGTTTACGCAGACAATCTTTACATTTAGAATTGGCATACAGATGTAAAATTAATGCAGTAAAATATAAAGCATTTCATTTAAATATCCATTCATTATTTTACAAGCACAGAGAGCCACATCAGATGGATGGAAGAGCCGCATGCGGCTCCAGAGCCCCGGATTGCCGACCCCTGTGCTAGCCTACTTTATTGTCCCCAGCAATTTTTAAACCCCACTTAAGTGTATGGTTATTGTCCCCAGCAATTCTGAAAACAAACTGACGCCCTTGGCTGCGGCGGCCAGGGAGCTAAAGAGCAGAGTGAGCATGGGAGCTCTGGGTGCTTGGCGTGACCACGTGAGCCGATGCGCTTAAGGTGTAGCTGGATGAGGTGGATGTGGGAGCCCTGAGTTGCTGTGGAACTGGGAGCCGGACAAGAACGGATGCAAGCTGTGACCGACCGGCATGAAACATCATGAGCCGTCAGCCAGAAAGTCACTGAGTAAAGTGAGCGTGGGAGTTCCACAGGGAGTGCAGAATTATTAGGCAAATGAGTATTTTGTCCACATCATCCTCTTCATGCATGTTGTCTTACTCCAAGCTGTATAGGCTCATAAGCCTACTACCAGTTAAGCATATTAGGTGATGTGCATCTCTGTAATGAGAAGGGGTGTGGTCTAATGACATCAA